GCAAAGGTTTTGCCCTTTGTACATCGTTATTTTCTGTCATTCTTCCCAGCACAGCCTGTAGACGATACATGCATTCTGCATCAAAAAACAGAAGCACCTGTGTGTGCAAGGTAGCTTGGAAGTATAGGTCCACATGCCCAGATGAAGACCACCTTCTACAGCTTTAGATGTCACACATGTGAACTTGCACCTTATGCTAGCATCCCTCCTATCCCATGTTTGAGGCTTCAGGGCCAGGTGTCAGATCTGGAGGCTGGGGCGGGAGAGGAATTCTCCTGTTTCCCAGGGCTAGAAAGATGTGGGACTAAGACTAAACATGCTATGGGCCCGTAACTGGAAAGAGCCAGGAAAACCTCATGGGACTGTAAACCAGGCACACTCAGGACTCACCCTTACTCCCAGTGCAACTTCCCTCTCACGTGGGGAGGCTGAAAGAGGAGATTTACTCGCGGCCTCCAACCTGAATTGCTGCTCAGCTAAGATTTATGCTGCAATTTGTAGTGCTGTTAAAATAAAATTGGAAGAGTGGTAGGGGAAGATAAAGAGAAAACGAAAGAAAGGGGAGGGAGGAGAAATGGATCAGGAACAACAACACAGCTCCAAAGCTGTCTGCTCCCATCTCTCACATCTCCATTGAATAAATCACCCTGCACTTCCAGCTGCTGTGCTCCAGCCTTCAGTTCTTGCAATGCTAATATCTGGGCTCACTTCACAGGGGGGCACACGCAGGGTATGGTTAATAGAAATCCGTCCATTTCCACAGCAGCTGAAGTGTCAGGTGCAATAAATACAGCAGGCAGAGAACGGCACAAAAGGTCCAGAGCATCTGCAGGCCGGTGGTTGCTTGCAGGGCTTCCACACTGCAGCCACCAAGGCTCCAGAGGACAGGAGAAGGGACACCCTCCACCTCAAATGTCACTCCCTGCCTTCTACCTTCTCATTCCAGCACTGGTTAAGCACCATTCCTACCTGCTGAGGTCTGAGGTGAAGCTAAATTATCCCCTGTACCTCCAGGAGCTTGCCAGTTCTGCACACTAGATCTTCAGGAAAAAGGCTGAAATCATGGATCAATATCCCTGCGTGTGCAAAGAGCCACAGGATTCCCTCACCAGGACCCCTACTGACCCCTCCTCTGAGGAGAAACCAAGGAAAGGTCAGAGCACCTCGCAGCTCTCAGGGAATCCTGGCTCTGCGCTGCAGGACTGGATGCTGACAAAATCAAAAGCAAAACCTCTTTAGTGAACATTAACAGAACAGCTTCCTCTTAACATCAGGGAAACTCCCCCCACGCTGAGTCAGTTGCTCTGTCCCATACTGCTGAAACCACGGAGGAAATTCAGAATTACATCCAAGGAGACTGGCCTTTCACCACCTCAGCATCCCTGCTCTTTACAGAAAGAGCCAGGCCAGTCTTGAGGATTCACACCTTGTTACAGAAACCACCACAGGGCAATTTAACAAGGGGCTAAAACATCAGTCCAACACTGACCATACAGGCACTGGTGAGCTCTCCAGCCCTGCTATCCAACACTGACCATACAGGCACTGGTGAGCTCTCCAGCCCTGCTACTGAAGTACCTTCTCATGGTGCTCCAGCCAGCAACTGAGTCCAGTTCCTTTTTGCAGGGGAGATGGGAGGAGATGAGATCCTGTGCACAGGCTGAGTCCCACCAACCGCAATGGATCCATTTGTGCATGCGCAGCTGACCTATAAAGGTCACTTCTCTTTCTCATGTGCCTGAACTTTAGAGGGAACAATTATCAAGTTCCCAAGTTCAGTGGGATAAAACATGTTGATCTTACTGTGGTTTGGCCGTGGATGCTTCCTCTTAACAGCCTACTTGTTATTTTCATTTCCTTGCACTGATGGCTTCTAGGGCAGTTCTGGGCCAATCTTCAGTACCAGCGTGCACATATAAAACACCCCTGGATGTGCAGAACAGACCCAGAGCCGTGCCCTCTGTGGCACAGCATCCACAGCAGACAGCGAGATGGGTTCCTTCAGCTCGTTCTGCTCACCACCAGCCTAAAACCCTCCCCTGCACCTTCCAGCCCCGCTGGCACCAAGTGAAACGTGGCAGTCAGCAGTGCCTCGAGGCCACGCAGGGCATCTGCCATGTCACAGGAGATCACCCACCAGGATACCACTGGCAAACCAAGGAGTTCCAGGAGGATGCAAAAGCACTGCACCACACCAGAAGTCCACCAGGCTCCCACCGCCCCATCGAACAAAGGTTCAACACATGAACCCACACTTGACCTCAGATTCAGTCTGGCATCACCGCGCACTTTGAAAACGGCGGCTCTGTTTGGTTTCTCCGGCTTCTCGGAGCCAGCGAGGAGGATTGGGTGGGTTATGTGGATCTGGAAGGGCCAGGAACAGAGCAGAACAACGCTGTGCTGGAACAGGCTGAGCCACACGACCGTCCAGCATGCCAACACGCTCCTCCTGTTCGTGCCCCCTGCTCTAGAGGTGCTGCCACCTTAACTCAGTCAGCAACACATCTGGCCGACTCCGCGAGCAGTCAGGCAGGCAGTAATTACCAGGGAAGGCCCTACAAGTTATACTGTACCCCGGAGGCCTCTGGACTCTGTAATTCAAACTGTAGTACTGTTTACTGCCTCGTAAAGATGACACATACTTAAGTTAGTGCTTTGACAGCTGGAACCTAAAGGATGCTCCTGGCTTAAGCACGTACCATTAACCCTCCCCATGCCACAGGGAAGCATCCTGCCACCACAGCAATCCAGCAGAGGCCACGCTGGGGCTCCTCTTAACAGCTCAGCACCCCTTCCCTGCAGCAGGATACAGCGCTTCCTACCAAGGAGGGCAGCTCCCGCCCTCGTTTAAAGCTGCTGAACCTCTTCAAGTCACACGCACTGTCACAAACAGCTCTTGGGTAACCTTGGCACACATGCTCCTCAAGGACAACCTGAAGGACATCACTGTCAACCTACAGACACAGGACAGAGAGAAGAGAAAGAGCGCATGTGCCCTGCCTGCAGCAGACTTAAACGCTGCACAAGACAGATGGGTCTTGTCAGCTGCTGTGCCCTCCCCACCACGTCACCACTGACAGCAGTCCCTCCAACAGCCACTCATACACACACTGAGCGAGCCAGGGGCTGCAGTGCCCACACCAGCACACCCAGAAGACACAAAGCATCTAAACACCAGCAGGAGAAGCCTCAGCTCCTCAGCGCTGAAGGTTAAAGAGGACCCATTTGCTGCAGTTGGTTGGGAAGTCCCAGCGCTGCACGGGGCACGTGCCGACCAACACCAGGGCTCTGAATAAAAGGTGGCTCCTTGTTGTCCCAAGGAATCCAGGGGAAAAACACATATAAATACACACACACACATCTATACATCTACCTATCTATAGTTTCACTTTTCCAATGTATGCAGGTTAAAATCAGGTTTTCAGGAAGACAAAAGATCCTGCTTGTATCCACCTTCTCCCCACTCCACAGTTGGGGAGTGCTACTGAAGGCCAGGGGGTATGGCCACCCTGTCCTCTCTCTGTTGAAAAGTGGCAAGAGCCAGCCTCTCAGCATCTCCTCTTGCTCTAGTGAATCTGCCGTGCTCCAAATGCAGAAGCCCGTTTCTGCGTAACGACAAGCCCCAGCATACGATACCACTCAGTGCTGGGAGCAGCAGGGCTTGAACCCCGTGTGTCTGGAGACAAAGCTGAGCTCTGTACCGCTCTGGGCAAGGGCAGGCGAGGCCCCTCCAGCTCTCAGCAAGCTGCTGACTTGGCAGCCTTTAAGCACCTGCAGCCCAAACTCTCATCCTCACCCCATGCACTGCCCCGACTCTCCTGCTGACTGTCCCACCGCCATCCAGAAGGGCTGCGGGCTGCCTTCACACTTCACTTCAAGTTTCCTTCTGGTTTGAATGTCCTGCTGCAGCCTCATAAATGCCATCTGTAACACAGGAGCAGCTTCTTTTTCTTCAGATCAGTTCTTCACACCTCCTTACAGTGACCTTCAGTACCCACCCCTCGCAGGGATTCAGTGATGCTTGTGGGCACGGATGCTGTGAGATGCACCGGCTGGCACGGGCTGCCAGCTGCAATACTGGTGCCTTGCCAGCACCAGGCAGAGGGGGAAGGCTGGCAGGCACGGCAGGGAGAGAAGCACGGGAAGGGACCCAATTCAAATAAAAGCCCAGGGCAGTCTGATGTGGAGAGTGGCTGATAAGGCACAGCTACCTGGGTAGGTTGTGGATTCCTGGGCAGGAACAGACAGACACAGCCCCAGCTTGCCAGGTGCAAACAGCATCCAACCGCGGCTTGTCTCTCCTCTCTGTGCCCCGTGAACAACTGCCCTTCTGTTTGCGGCAGTCCCACACTGGGGGGGCTGTTTCATCTGAGGGAACAAAGGCCTGCAAAGGGTTGGTTCAGTACACGCTGCCCTCCGTCTCCTCCACGCACCAGCACCAGCTTCCAGCTGAGATGGGATCAACGCAGGCTTTTAGCGTCACGGCCAGCTTGAGGCCAGGCGCTTGCAGTGGGGGGTGGAGGCGAGCAAAGGGATACTGCAGCTCTCCGTGTCTTCCCCTCTCCATTTCTGAATCACATTAGTCAGAGACCTGAACCCAGAGCCACCAGTGTCAAACTGGATTAGGTTACCGGTCAGAGAAATCCAGCACGTGCCTTTTGCAGCAACCGACACCTGATAATTTTGGAGGAAAGCAACGAGCTCTGTAACAAACCCAGGAAACTGCTGGCCACATGGCAGCTGAGAGGGGAAGGGAACTCCCTGCCTGCCTCACGGGCAGAAAGGAGGTTGTTCTTGCCCTCACCCCCTTCTCACAAGCCCATGACAGCAGGAGCATGAAGTTAATGCAGGTCCATCTCCCTCCAGGGCAGATCCTGCACAATGTTAGATGGATGGGCTTCTGGCTCCCACCCTAGCTCTTTCGCATGACCCTGGGAGAAGAAGAAAGAATCCCCCCACACACACATACATACATTTTTCTACATTTTCTCCTTCCTTACAGCAGCTCAGCCAGGCTCCTGAGCTTCCTGCTGTCATCACATCCATCCATCAGCTCCGTCCAGAGGACTGAGACCACTTCACAGCTCCATGTGTGACAACTCTCAGGGGGGCCATGAAACACTAGACCAAGTTCCTGCCTCTGAAGCCAAAAAAAGTCAAGGGAGCAATGCAGAAGTGTTGATCTGGGAAAAAAAACAACAAACCTCTCTGCTCTGGCTCTTCTTACTATTTCCTGCTCTTATAAAAAAACTCCAAAAATTCACCACCTTCCAATCCCTCTCCCACCCCACCCCCAACATACCTGCATCTGGAAACACACTTGCTCCAAATAGAGCACCAAAGGGCTTTACCAGGCCCTCTGACCAGATGTTGCCACCACACAGAGTACAAGAGGCCGGTTTCCTTCCCAGCAAAATCACAAATGCAGAATCTCTTCCCAAAAGAGATGAAGGGGACGGGATCACGGATCTATGCACAGTCAAAGCTGGATGCTAACTTCCTTCATGCAGTGCAGCATCCTGAGAGCACCAAAGCAAAATTACCCAGTACTTGCACTTGGAGAAGTACCTGAACCTACCTCCCTGGAGCTCAGCTACTGCAGGCAGGAGCACCCCAAAACCAGGTAAAGGTGCTGCTTTCCCTTCTTAAGGTTGGCACTATCGAAGGGACAGGTCCACCATGCTCTCTGTGCTGTGCCAGCAGCACTCCAGGCGCGGGGTTCAGGCATTTCTGTTCAGATTTTAGCCAACCCTGCTGCGTAAGATGAGGACACGTGCTCCAGTTGACTCTGACCTGGCTTTTACCCTCTCTTTGGAGAGGATAAGCAAGCAGCATAGCTCTCTTAGCTGCACTTGTGGAAAATTAGGATGGGGAAGGTTGTGGGGCAGACAGGGAGCAAAGGGAGAGCTTGTTCGGGTACCTGTTGAGAATTTCAGTCTCCACTACTCTGCGCCAGCTCTTCATGGCTCCAGAGCTACAAATAACCTCAATTTAAACAACTAAGAGGCTTTGTGAGCGAGCAGACTGCTGGAGCAGCCTGCATGGAAAGTGGCTGGGCAGGACCAGAAGCCTCAGGTGGATGAAACAGCATACCATGCCGCTAACTCCTTGGCACTGCACGCTTTCTTGAGCAAGACACTATCCCAGCTGCCACGCGCTCTGGTGAGAACTGGCAAACAAACAGTTACAAGCCCAATGTTCCCATCAAGCAGGTATCCACAACAACCTGCAGCATCCTTACCCCACCAAATCCCAGCTCAACTTTGATGCCACGACAACTTCCAGAGGGAGCACAACCCGCACAGGGACGCATCCGCCTCACTGCAGCACCTGGGGAACACGAGCTCCACTCCGGTGTGATGAACAGGCATGTCCTGAGTATCAGAGCTGATGTTAGTACCCTGGAGGTTTGGAAGAATGGTCTTTTTTTCCCCTCCTCATCCCTCCTCTGTGGATATCAGAGCAGAGCAGGTTTTGGTTATCCCCAGCTTTTCCATAGCCACATGTCTCTCCTCTTTGCACAAACGCTTGGGAGGGGACTTGAACCAGCTGGACGCCAAAAGTCCCTTCCAACCTCAACCAGTCTGTGATGCTTACAAGGCGCAAAATCAACTCTCTGAGCACATCCAAATCTAAGCAGGTTGCTGATAAAAAACCAGGGAACTGTGTCTGCCCCAACCCCAGATCCGTCAGGGTAACTGCACCCCAAAGAGCACGGATGCCGGCCCGCCGAGGCTGTCAGACCTCCTGAGGTGTGATGACAGAAAACAAGCAGAGAAACCCTGCCGAGTCACCTGATGCTTTACGAGTAGTTTTTCTTCCTGGACATCTCACTTTTCCACAGAGCTTTGGTTCCTCCAACAAAAACCCCACATCCTCCAGACACCAGTTCTGCATATGCTGCACTCGGAGGTGAAGTGCCACAAGGCAGGACGGTGGGCAGGAGCTGCACACAACCGCATTCCCCCTCCACGGGGCTCCCTGCCACTCGTCAGTGTGCCAGTGTCCTGTTATTAACATCTCCACCAGCCTCAAGACGGCTCAAAGCCCCTGAGACAAGACTGCATGATGCTACCCAGTTCTGACTTGCTGCTTTTCACACGTTTAAGCCACGGGGTTCACAAACATGATGGTTACAGATGCCTTGCTCTGGGTTTTTCCTCCAGAAGTAAGTGGTGCTTTTGGGAAGCAGGGGGGTGGTACAGAAAGTGGCCCTCCACCAGCTGCCAACAACAAAAGCAGGTTTCTTCACTTTCTTCTAAAAGCAGAGGTATTTATGTATTTTTAGCATTAAAAAAAAAAAAGACTGTTCCTCCCTCCATAGTCATTGAGGACCAAAGGTATTTCATTCTGACGAGGCTTTTATATAAAAATACAAAGCCTCTGCAGAACACTGTGGGAAACCCCAGAAAAAGCATATTCTCTGGAAGAGGAAGGAGCTAAAAGAGCTTCAGCCAAACTGAGTGGTAGGCAGAGACACTTAACGTTGCAAGATCTGTGCAGTTGAATCTTTCCCCAAAAAACCTCTCCTGAACAGAGCAAACCCGAGCAGTTCTCAGAAGGACCCCATTGTCCCTCTTTACAAATCCTGGGGAATGACAACTAGGTGACCACTAGAAACACCATCTGGGAGACAGTTCAGTGCCCTGGCTCTCTCCTAACATCTTTCAGATGTGGAAGGATGCACACTGGAGAGGTGTCACCGCCACTGCCAGCAGCAGCAGGAGAAGCCACCACGAGCCCACGGATCCCAAACGGTTCAACTGCAGCAGCCACAGCGACAGAGCCACGTCCTGCTGCCAGCACCCGGGCTTGTGGCACTGCACCTTACTGCTCCCACCTTCGTGAAGGGTTTGGCACATCAAGAAGCTCGGCCATGATGGGTCTGCAGGCTCAGCTGAATGCTCTCATCCAGCAAAAGCCCAGGTCAAACACCTTTAAGCACACGAGCAAGGAGGAGCCCAAGGGGACTTGTAACTAAGTCAGAATTTGTCTGGCTACGCACGGTTACCAGAGATGTATTTAAAACCAGCATCTTTGACCTAAGCAGAGATTTCAGCAATAAGATCCCTCTAACTAACATGCGTATAACACTCGGTACCTCTAGCCTTTAAGTAGCTATGTCCTCCTAGAGCGCCGGGGAAGGCAGGGACATGCTCCTGTTTAAAAGGTGGGTCACTGACACATAGAAAGAGACTGTGCAGCCTTGTCCAGAAGAGACCAGGGACTAAAAATCTGGATGTCACAAATCTACTACTTCTACCGTTAAGGCCCCCTTTTTCTTCTTTCTCCTGTCCACCTGTCTTCAGCAGACAGGGAACTCCAGACCACCAGCCTCACCTAGGCAACCGGAGACAACGCAGCTTCCTCACAGCTTCTAAAAATCTTGAAAGCCAAACAGCACTGATTTCTTCCCTTTTCCCACCCCACTTTGGGGAAAGCCTCCCCCAGTTCTCCCACCAAGTAGAGACTGAAGTCATACGTGAAGTACTTGTGTCCCTGTCTTCCTGCCGAGGAAGGTCTGCGTTCATCCCTGTGACAAACCAGAGCAGGCTTAGCTCCACCCGGCTGTAGAGCAGCCAAAGCATTATCAGCCTTGCAGGTAGGGACAGAAAATCAGCATGAAAAGCGAAGTCTATACCAGAACTCCTGTCCAGACTCAAATTGACTCCCCAGTACTCCATTTCCTTCCTGTACCACAGGACTCCAGGGACAAGGACATTCAGAGGCAGGAATACCTACCCTGACTTGTTCTGTTGACTTACTTAACTTTGTAAAGGAATATATGTATCTGTTTCTCTCTAGAAACCAATCATCCGCTGCTTCTTCACCCTGATGTTTCACCCATCTCGCCATGGGAACCGCAGGTACTTTGATGTCTGACAGCCTGGCTGATCTCATCAGGTTTTTTGAACCCACTTCCATAATCACCGCCTAAAGCGAGTTCTTCCCACGCAACTCACTGCTCCGTGAATCATGGCCAGTGATTTTCCTGTCTCCAGGAACCATGCAGCACTTAGCCAGGATGAGTTCTCTTCTCCCTTTAGCAGGGGAAATACATAATTATCAGAAAAAACACTCTTGTCCTAACAGGACACTGGCTTTATCTGCACCGAGACCGGCAGTTCCTGTTCTTGCCCCAACATCCGCTCCACCACGAAGGCTGGTTGTTCAGGAAATTTATTTCCATGTGTCAAGATTTCACCTAGTTTCTCAAGCTCCTCCAAGCTACAGACTTTGAATCAGGAGCTGTCTCAGCTGGCATACACAAGGCTGCAGAGACACGGCCTTTTCAGTGCCCAGGGCCAGCTTTGTACTGGAAGCTCCTAAATCTCGGTGCTGGCTATGCATGGGCGTACTGGAGGGATTCATCTGTGAGCCGGTGACACCTTCCCCACCTCTTCAAGGCAACAGAGGAAAAAACAGCAGTCCAGAAGGAATAATCCTGCAGGAAGGACCCAGCTCTGTTCACAGGATCCCTCTAAACCAGAGGGGACAAACCTACACAGTCAGATCACCGACCAGAACTGTGGGCGAGCCACAAAAGTTGGTACACACAGCAGATGCTGGGAACTGCACAAAATAGCCTTTTTAAAGGTCTCTTGGGCATTGCTAGGAACTCAAGCCCATAACTGAGATGACAGTTAATTGGTTTCACACTGTTACCAGCTCAACAAGGAAACCCAAGACAGGGCTACGAAGGAGCAAAGCGTGAGGTTGCTTGCCTCGGAGTCTCCCAGTGTCGTGCACCAGACACCGTGAAGCACATTCTGGGACTCACAGCAGAAGAAAGGCAAGAAAACAAGGACTACACAACAGATACTACATGACCATCACAGCAAGTGCCTCCAGTGGAAAGCCACAACAGCTATGGGACACTCACAAGCAAGCAGCTATTCCTAAAAGACTAGCGGCTCCAAACAGACTCAAGCAAGTACAAACACCCAACCAGGCTGGAATCTACACAAAGCAGGCGTTAGGCAAAGGCTCAAATATTATTAGCACAAAACACGGCAGCCTCTGTAGCCAAGCCCCCGGACAGAGGATTTTTAAGATGCTTTTGACATACCTCTCAGCCTGTCAGAGACTGAATGCAGGACACCAGCCCTCCAACATGAAGAAAAATTCCTCACTGCAAGTGGCTGATGGGGAAGGGGCAGAGGCAATGACTGAGGGACACATTTGAGGTGCTGATTTCATCGAGGAGGGATAGAAGTTGAGGGTTGGAAACACTGAGCTCTTTTTCAGAGCAATTCTGTTTTGGTGCGTTTCATTTCCTTGAATCTGGTGTTCAAAAACATTTCACTGCTTTTGCATGAAAACAGCTTTGCCTGCTCTTTGGAATTCAGAAGTTCTTGCTACTTATCACCACCCAACCTGTAGTCACAATACTCCATCTGTGATACCTACAGTGTAGTTGGGAGGTCAGAAAGAAGAGGAGCCACAAGAACATGGCAAACTTGTTAAATGAACTGAGATCCCATTCCCAGGCAGCCACCTTTACAATTTAGATGAGTGAGGAGGAGCTGGGATGGGTCCTGCAGCCTATTCTGCAGAAGACATCAGCAGCCCTGTAAAAAGGACATGGCTTGGCATCACTCAAATTGGGGGAAATTTGGCTCTAGCTTTCACGAGGAATTGAACTGAGCCTCTGGAGACGAAACGACGTGACACCCAAGAGGATGCAAAGCAACTTATCTCCCAAATGCACCGCCCCGGATTCAAGCTGAGAGGTAAGCAGGTAAGCAGGCTCCTTCCCCTCCTCCTTACCTTCGCACCCGGTGGTGTAAATGCTGATGCTGCCGTGTTATAAGGGCACTTTCCCAAACAGGGCCACTGTGACGACTACTATACCAGCTCACGGCTGGGTGCCCCGGGTAGGGTGTGCTAGTGAAGCCATGGTCCGACTCCGTCTCTGCGGCCAGCGATGAGGCAGAGCTCCCCATGGTTCCCCCCTACCCAGGCCACGCTGAGATTTATCCTAGGTTAGGTCCAAGCCAGTGGCACGGGCAGTTCGGGTGGAATAGGCGAGGCGCTGCGGCATGGGCTGCTGTAAAGATCCCAACACACTGGAGAAAGGAAGGTCGGTTCTGATCAAGAGTTGAAGAAAAAAAAACAAAACAAAACAAAACAAAACCAAAAAAAAAAAAAAAAAGGAAGGGGGAAAAAAAAGGAAAGAGAAAGAGAGAAAGATAAGGTATGATTTAAGCAACAACCCTTCAGTTTTAGAAGCCTATTAATGCATGCTCTGACCCGGATCCCCGTCCCAGCACTCACTGGGATGGGAAAGACCATTTCACTGACTCCAGCTTTTGCTGCCTGGAGATGAAGAGTACAGGGGCTCGAGAAGAGCTCTCCACAGTTAAGCACCAGGAGTTCCCAGGCACAGGAAAGCAGCCTGACTAGGGAGGAAGGCACACCAGAGCCCAGAGAAAGCCCTTGCTGCCATGGTAAAGCAGCAGCAAAGGGGGCAAGCAAGCCTCACTTAGAGCCCAAACCAGCAGCCCTTGGGAATCACACACACAAAAAGGTTATTCTGAAAGCTCTGGGCTCTGACTGGCACACAAAGTTTTTAGTTATGTGAGCTAGGAGGAGTAGGACTTAATGGCTTGTAGGCAGTGAGGAGATTTTATTTTTTCGGTATGTAAAATAAAATATTCCTCTTTTCCTGTTCCCTACTAACATGGCAGTAAAGCTGAAAACGGACAGACTGGGTATTTGCACAAGTATGTTTTCTGTGACTATTTCACCCAGTGCAGTGAAATACTTTCAGCTCAAGCCAATTTTCAGCTGATACTGAGCATGCCCCTACGCACAGAAGCAGGCTGGGAGCTTTGACTGTTCTTCCTTTTCTCCCTCTCTCTTTCCTACTTTTCAGAATTTATTCTTTGAGCATCTTCACAGTTAAACTACAGAAACATTTCACGACCTCTAGCATTCAAAAGATGTTTAAACATACACATGTCTCTCCTTAAAGGAAAAAGGCACAGCAATCTGGATATGTGTCAGGAGGAAAGGATCAAGAGAACATTTAACAGAGCAAAAAAGAAGAAATGAGGAAGAAATAAAAATTACCCACCAGGATTTATAGAGATGAATGAACCATAGAAAGACCTTTGCGAAGAAACTACTTTGTGCCATAAAAAGGCTGAAACAAAGACTCCTAAAATACAGTTTTTCAATCCCAGGACTGATCTAAGGGATCAAGAAAGGACTTGATAGATAACAGACTCTTGAATGCAGCAGCTCAAGGAACAGGTGCAGTTTTGCTACGAGCTTAATACCAGAATGTGCCTGCATTAGGCCATTAGCTGGAGAATGTTAACTGCTCTGTCATGGTCTCTTCCCTGTAAATTGCAAAGCCTGGACTAACAAAATAAAACTGGGAACAAAAAAAAGCCCCAGAACACAATTTTCCCGACCTCGATTTCCTCGTTTTAACTGCTCTCCCTAACTGCTGTGCATCAGCTAACACATCTCCACGCTTTGCTTCCCGCTACCTGCTCAACAGCAAGATTTCACTGAGTTTCATAGATCCACCCAAAGTGGATCCCTGGAGCTTCCCCTCTCATTTCCTGCTATCCAAGCAGTTAATTTGTCACAAATCCGAACTTCTGGCTAAATGAAAGCCATGTGATGTGAGGGGACGAGTATTTCCAAGGATCTTCAGCTCAAGTCTAACTGGAGGCACCAGCTGTCCCCCACGTGCGGCGTCTCTGGCTTTTCTGACGCGTCCCTCGACGGCTCCCCCATCCCGAGCGCCGTACGTGCTCCAGCCGCCAGGCTGCCCAGCGGCAGCAAAGCCGTGGGGACGCAACTAAGAGACCTGCTAGGAGAACAGAGACCGTCTCTCACCTCAAGACTGAGGTTCTACCATGATAAAGTAAATAAAGGCAAGATGGGTAGAAACACAGTCCTGTACAGTTCACCGTAGGCTGAGTGAAACAGAAGGCAAGATGCTCAAGTCAGTCAATAGCCTTTTCCCCCACCTCGAGCCCAGCTAAACTGCCAAATAAAGCAATTCCACAGGCTGGTTTGAGACCACTTCCTCAGCTGACTCTCAAGCTGGAAAAGCAGAGCAACCCTTTGCTTCCTCCTCCTACACACAGAAACGCCAGTTTTAGCTCACCACAGCAGGCGAGAGACATGCCTGCTGCCCGCATCACTGCTGGCTCCCAACGTGTTGCTTGTGTCTTGGCCTGTCCTCCTCTGCCAGGTCTGCACCAGGGAGTCTGAGCAGGCAGCTCGAAGCAAGCACTCTGCAGGGAAAGATGAGGCTGAGAGTCCTGCTTTAAAGCAGTGCGGTAAAACCCCACGGTGGGTGGAGCTGAGGAGAGGAAGGGAGCTATAAATAGGTGGAGGATAACCTAGCTAAGTCGTAGTTATCTCCAAGGCTGCCTGGTCTAAGTGGGCTGCTTGGCTGCGAGCGCTGCATGAAATCGGATTTCTCCAGGCAAAGCAGTAAATCCTTTTCTTCAGGGTCACCCCTCACGCCAGGTGAGAGCAGCCAATAAACAATATTTAGTGGGGAACGCTGGCCCAAGGAGGGAGAGGGTGAACCTGTTGGAAAACAGGAGGAGTGGCAGCATTACAGCTCAACGCATACATGTATGTGCTCGCCATGCTGAGCCAGAAAACACCTTTGGCCAACGCTAAGCAAGAAGTAAAGGTGAGAATGAAAACTACATTCTAGCAAGGGAAGGGGTCAATTAAAGAAGCCTACAAAGAAGAAAGCCCCTCTGGAAGCACTCAGCCTTATTTTTGAGGAACTTCTCCCACTGGGCAGGGCGATGCCCCAGGAGATGCCCTGCAGGCACATCGCCAGTGCTGAGCAGGGGAGCAAACTGCCAAGAGCTCCTCTGCTTTGGCAGGAGGGAGCAAGATATTCCTCCTCATTAACAAAGCCCTGCTTCCACCTATCTAATCAGGAGAGGAAGCGACAATGTGAACAGATTGAAGTGTCTTGAGGAGGTTGGATCTCGCTCATGGAAATTAACAGTTAAGCACCTTAGCAAGATGCTGAGTTTGGATTTTGTTTTTTTTGCCCCTCACAGCTGCAATAATTACCGGTTTCAACTGACTCTGTTTAACTGCTCCCAAAATAAAACCAGATTTGAGCTTTCCACCCCCAAGCCACTCGCACCCACTTACCCTGATCCGTTGTACGTGATGCAGACCCTTCCTCTAATTGCCCCACCAGCACCCTGGGCAGCAGGCACTCACACCAAGTTCAGGATGGCAAAGCTTTCCCATGGAGGTTCCTCCTGCTGCTGGGACAGCAGAGCAGTCACCCGGATGCTTCCAGATAAGCCCTATTCCTCACCACCAGACAGCAGTGCTGACCCTTCGGGCCCCAGCTCTTCTGTCACACCACCCAAAGCAAAGCAGGCAGGAAGGGTGGGGATCTGGGTCTGCCCAACCCCCTTTCCTTCCCTCCGGCTTCAAAACAGGTTTTGGCTCCGAAGAGAGCAAAAAAAGAAAAAAAGGGAACTAGCCCACATGTTTCAACGTATCTAGGAAGCTGCAGGATCAACTTTTCCTAGAGCCCTTCTAGGATGAGCCCCAAGCCCTTCCCTTTGACACGCAGCAGGAAGAAGAGACAGAGGTCCCTGGAGCTGCTCCAGCATGTGAAGGAAACCAGTGAGACAGACTCACCCCAGTTGGTCCCACGTGCAGAAGCCCCTCCTTGTGATGGGATACCCCACACACTCCTTTTCTTATTCATTTATTCATCCATGCAGCACAAGCCAGCTCAGCTTCTGCCTCAGTTTTCCAACCTCTCTTGGTTCTCGGCCTCCTGTAGTCAGGGACAAGAACTTCATCACTTCATTAATTCCTGCACTCTCCCAACCTATAAATAAAGTCACCTTTGAGCTACTCCCTTGCTCCAGAGAAGATGCAGGAATGAAAACACAGCCACCTCACACACTGGACTGCTCTTGTCTGAGGTGCTGGGCCAGCAGCAGGCACACCATGTACCTGGGGGAAAAACATCCCTCAAAGCTGTGCCCAGGGGAAGCCACATAGCAGGAGGTTTTCTTCAAGGACTGAAGCTGCAGAACAGCAGCCCTTCTCCTCCCTCTGCTGTGTGAACTCCCCTGGCTGGGGGCTGGCTAAAAAGGGCTGGGACCTGGAACCACCCTCAACAGCAGAGGAGAAGCTCTCTACTCTCGCTCACACGCAACCTGCACTTGCAGGGAGAAACAAGGGTTCCTGAAGAGCTTTGAACGTCCAGTCCCCACACGCTGCCCTGGCAGGAGCAGGCTCCTCTCTGGGGACTGCAGGATGTGATTCGCACATTCTAAACACAAAGTAGTTCAGGAGCAGACGAGTGCAGCTGGAGGAATGCGACTGACTTGGGGCATCAAGTCGGAGGAAACCACTTCATACATCGTGAAGACATGGCCAACTCTTGGACCTCTACCAGTCTTGCCACCACACACAGCAGGAGATCTCCTCACCTACCACCGAAGCAGTCATATGCTCACAGGGTCTGGAGTAAGCAGGGAAGAGTGCGCAGGGGTGGGTAAGGTACACAGCACAAGACAAGTCAGCATAAGGTTATAAAGTCACAGAGCAGGTCAGGAATGGGATAACTAAAGAAGGATGCAGAGCAGAGGCCTCATGGTATGTCATGCCAACCAACCAAGGAAAAGAAGCTCAAGTATTTGTGTGCATGGCAAGTGATACACAGCTGGGCTTCCAGCTCCACAAGGCAGAGTGGCAGAACCTGAGGATGTGCAAAGCCAGGTACCAGCACCAAGCAGGGCATGACTTATATTCACCAGGCTCAGATGGCCCTGATAAAGGAAGCAACCCCAAGGGACGAAGGGTTAACAATCTTTCTTCTTCCACAAGGCCAGGGGGGAAAATAGAAGACAAGCAACAAGACATCCACCTCAGTCAGACGTGGTACAGATTGACATCCAAGATGCTAATCACCAGCCCAATGAGCGCTCTAAGGCTCAAGTGCAGCAAGAGCTCCTGTGATCACCTGTGGGACCCCTGTTGCAAAGCAGCCAAGCAAACTGGAATGCTCCGTGCTGAGCAAGTGTCTTGCACAAAGCTGTTGTCTTGGTGACACGAAACGAAGTTTTGCTGCTCTTTATCCCTGCCCTCACCTGCCAAGGCAGCCTGAGTGCTGCAGTCCTGGCAGAAAATTAAGGAGCGAACAAGTTCCAGTTCTGTGCAAAGCTCTGGCAGGGAGGGGTGGGAAGGTGTCTCCAAGGACAGACTGAGGCATAGGTACAACAGGAAGGATGGGCCGGCGGTCGGCACACCCAGCTGGGACATAGGAGGCTTTTTCAGCCCTCATGCTCTTGCACAGAGCTTCCCGTGTGACTCGGGGCACAGTCCTGTGTCTCAGAAAGCACTGCCTTTACCTCCCAAGGCCAAGAAGTCTTCAGGTTTGAAGGGCACTAGGATGACAGGCAGTGCACAAGCACCGCAAATGGAAGGACAAGGAAAATGTGAAGGGTGAAATGTACCCACCCAAACGGTTGTTATGGGGCAGCAGGGCTGAGCGAAGAGAGATGAGACAGATGTTCTGGCCTTGGAGGAAATCTAGGGGATTGGACACTGCAAACTTTCCAAATCACGGTGAGCAACAAGATTGGTACACTGCTTGAGGAGGTATCATTAGATGAACTTAGCTGCCTGGGAACAGATTTGCAGACGGGCTGTTAATGAGGTAGCAAGATAATTTAACCCGGAGTTCTAGACCAGCACAGAATAGGACCTCACGCTTCATGCTACGTTTTAGCAAAGTCCAGAGCAGCAGCACATATTTTTGGCCACGGATATTAACATGCAAAGGCAAGCTTGAGGATCTTTACCTTCTTTCAGCTGCCTTGAAACTGGTTCTGGCTCAACTTTAACACAGAAGAAACACATACGCAGCAGCTGAGTTGGGCAGAGCTGCATTTAATGCCCAGTACTGACTCTTCATAAGTATGCAGGAAGAGTTAGAGGTGTCCAAAGCCTGAAGCGAAAGATTGATAGGAAAAGTAGATTTACTGTAGAGCCAGCTTAGCCACAAAGCAACTAGAGTCAACATCTGAAAAAAGTTTCCTCTTCTCCCTTGCACAGGACACTGTAAACCAGTGATTGATTATCCAGTGAGCTACTGGAAATTTATCACGGTCATTTTGCAAGGGGGTATTATACAGATTTGGAAAGGCAATCAACATCTTAATTACATGCTACAGGGAGAAAAAGAGGGAGAAGTAGTGGACAAGAATGTTTCTTCAAAATAAGGGTTAACTTCAAATCCTATCTCCTTTGATAACTGAAGAGCAGGAAAGTCCTTTTCTGAATAACCATGAAAATGACAACAAAGGCACTGCCAGGTTTGAATGTACACATTTAAAAAAAAAACAAAAAAACAAACAAACAACAATACAACAACAAAAAAAAAACATACAAACAACCCACAACCAAATCTCTAAAACCCTAGTGCTCTATTAAGTCAATTAACATTGCTTCAATGAAGTGCAACAAGCCGCTTGTATCCTCCAGTTTACTAGCCAATTGTGGCTGACTTTTGAGCGCAGTGTTAACAAAAGCGTGTGTGGGCTGGCATGGTTTGTCTCATTAGCAACATTGCGGTAATGCCACAGAAAGAAAGACAAGGGGAAGAAACAAAACAAGACAAGCCACAGCATCCAATCTGGGGAAGCTTTACCAGCAGATCTAATTTCCAGATCTTTTCTTCCCCTTATTTATAATCCTTGTAGCAGAGTCCTGTCATCCTACTCAGCCCACAGACTGCCCCAGCTACAAAACATGCCAGGCTGAAAAATCACCTCGACAGACTGCCTGCTGAGACCAGTTGTATTATAAAAACAGGAAGCTTTTACTTGCCTGCTACCAATACACTACAGATTTAATGGGAAGTAGCATAAGCAGGGATGCTTTGCAGGAAGCACACACACACACGGGACTCTTGCCAGGAAAAATGCATCTTGAGTAACACATGTGCTCTTAGTTTCCTCTTTTTTTTTTTTTTTTCAGAAAGGTTTAACTACACTCTGGGTTACCCAGCAGCAATAAAACATTTTTTTCCCCTTTCTCACTTACAGCAGAGTGTTGATTAGTAAACAGCAGATCTTCCTGTCTGAGGCTGTGCCAGCCTGTGCAGAACAGAACTGTTGTTATTGCACATTCACAGCTAGAGATAAACACGAATAAGAGCCATGAGTAAGAGCCAGGCACTGGCTCTTCGATACATTGCTTTATCAGGTTTACCTTGATTCAACTGTTTCTGACAACATCTCTCCCTCTTGAGGGGGCAAGATGGCACAAGTAGCAAGGACAAACATTTAAAAAGTGACAGTAGCGCAAAAAGTGCTCTTCTGTACTCGCTAACATTCACAAACTGTGCAGCTCAGAACTCCACCTGCACTTAAAACACCCAAAAGCACAACATGAAAATAAATGGCCTCAGCAAAACCAAGCTCTCAAAAAGAAGCCATAGAAAAACAAAGTAGCTTTCAACACATTTCTCAGGACAAATCTGCATTGAGAGCCATGGCTGGTGCAGGACATAAAGGTTACAGAGAACCAGGGAAGGAAAAAAATTTGCAAGTCATCTCTCATCTGCAAGACGACACTCTGCAATGGCACAAGTACAATAAGCCAGCCCAGGAAAACTGGATACTGGAAGTCTGAGGAGGGTTTCTAACCTTTCCAAAAGCAGATCTCCGGACCAGCTGCTCCAGAAGCACTGGGGAAAAAAAGCACAGAGTTAGTTCCAACAATTAGTTCCTGGACAAGAGCATGACCTGCACGAGACGGCTGTTTTCAGCAGTAGGGGACTGGACTTGATGACCCATGAAGTTCCTCCCAATCACTCAGCGAGCTGAATTCATAGAAGGATATAGATGCCCAGGCATAGCACAAACATGAGGTCATACCCAAAAGGACGTCAGGGATTGTATCTTCAGATCATGCTAAGCTGACAGATAAGCAGATGAAGGGCTGGCCACTGCAGAAGGGAGGGGAAGAGAGTTGCAGCAAGAAGTGGAGTCTCACAACCAGTGAAAACCCAGGGCATGGGCTTGGAAAGCAAAGTCTCAGAATCAGGAGGTGGAGGAGATGTCTCTGGAGCACACCATCCCCCCCACACTCCAACCACAGCTTTAATTCTGACACAGATTGGACAGATGGTAAATATGTGATTCATCCGAGCCACATCCAGCAGCATCCATTGCTAGACACAGCTCCCAGCCGTCACCTCACTGCCCTGTCCAGAATCACAAGGGCTCTTTTCACAGGGGCAGCAGTACCTGGGTGCCATTTGTACACAATTTGGACTTTTCCCGGCTTCAACTGGACACCATGTCCCAGTTTCCAACCAACTGGCCTAGATTTAAACCACCATGTCTCTGGCTGTGCCTGAGGCAAGTGCAGAGGTAGGACACACCTGACAGACCACAGTGGCATTTAACATTCCCATCAGAAAAAAACGGGAGATAAAAGCATAAGCATCGCTGAGAACTGCCACAACAGGCTGCCACCTTCTCCGCGAGCACAGGGGGAACCAGGAGAGCACAGGGGAGGTGGGACAGGGAGAGTGAAAGGGCAAGAAGGTAGCTCCTCTTCCAGCACAGCTCAGTTCGATAATCTAATGGAGAAGCATCACATTACTGTTCACCCCTCTCCACCTCCAGATTATACCTGTACTCTGCCCTGGGCCATCCTGAAAAACACATGAATCCTTCTGCATGCTGATGTCATAGCCATGCCATTATTTCTGTTAGGAGATGATGCCATAATTGAAATTATATGGCAGGAATAACACCTGGTACAACTGAAGTGACAGAGATATAACAGTGCCTGACACCACTATGATACTCCCCTTTCCTCACCAGCATTTCTACACCAGATTTCTGCCTCCGTCCCAAGCAGCCCCTCCTCAGCTGCACCAATACAGCTGAAACTGTAGGATGTGTTCAATTACACAGTGCCTTAAGCAATATTTGCCCATGAGAATAGTTATTTGAACAAATATAATGATCACATGAGGAAAACGCTGTACTCCAAGATGAAAGGGCTGAAACATAATGCAGATGCTTTGAGTAAGAAGCTACAGCAAAGCCAGCCCTAACAGGCCATCCAGCATCCCACCCTGCGCAGCGACGGAGCTGGCCTCTTAACCAAGACCAGCTGGCTGCATCCTGAACGCACGTTAACCCACACAAGGCAGATGGAGAGGAGATCACGTTACAGGAGTCACTCTCAAATGCCTTGCAAGAAGCATCCAGCTGCCTTAGTTTCATGTGGTGCTACAGACCCCCCAACCTTCCCCCCGGCAGGCTCTGCTTGCTGAAGCGGCCTGCACGGCAAGGTCAGGCAACGGGAACAAGGGCTTTGCACACCTGCAGTAGCGTTCACAAAACACTCCAAGGCTGCCTCAAAACTGATCCAAGAGCAGGAACGTTACTTCACCCCTCCCACAGTTGAGAGCTAGCCGCGGCGCAGAGCTCAGCCGACACCAGCCGGGCGACAGTCACCGCGCAAAGACCGGAGTGCTCATGGCCTGGTTTCAGCCCACCCCAAACTGTGAGAGATTCCCGCAGACCTTCTGCTGAGGCTGGACACCAAAGCCACACGGAGACTCCAGCTAGCCCATAAGCATCCAGGCAGACCAGATCAGCCAACACATCGCACGCTCGAGTCCATTCGATTAATCCAAAACCTTGGCTTGGATAAGGCCACATCAACCTGACTCATTTAAACACAACAAAACGTCATCAGACGCTCTCCTGCAGTAGACACTGCAGAGTATCCCGAAGGTACAAGCTCTGACTGGCTTCCCACCACCTTGTCCTGTCTCTGCAGAGCAGACTCCGAATCGTCAGGCTGAAAGCAGCCCAGCCACGTAAGGTACAACACAGTCATCTCTCTGTCCCAGCCCTCGGCTGGGAACTGCCATGGCACTGTGGTTACTGCAGGCAGTGCAATGCAGAGTTTCTTAGATTATTTCCCTGCCTTTGCACTGCCTCATACGCACCCTGGCACAGTCATGCAGTTTCCACAGCTTAAGATTGCAAGGTCCTGGAAGACTTCACAATTTCTCTTCCACTCACAGTTTCTTCTTCACCATGAGAAAACCAGGGGATGCCAGTATCCCCACCCATAAGAGCACATGGCCTTCACACAGACAGCAAGAAGAGCAGAACACTCAAAGAAGGAGTCAAAACAAGGAAGAAAGACAAGAATGAGAGGCGTAGGAATCAAGCAGCAGGGTAACCGTGCTTACAAACCAAAGGAGAAAAGGTCTGTTTCCTTTCAGCCCCTCCCAGCCCAGCCCAGAGCCAACTGCAGCCATAAAAGCCTCTCACCCAACACGGTTTCTGCTCTGCAGGTCCGATGCCCAGCTGGTGTGAAGTCAGCCTGGTGTCCCTGGAATCGAACGGCTGCTGTTGGCACCAGCTGAGCAGCCCAGTTGGAGGAGCATGCTAGATGGTCTCTGCCCGGAGCCGCCAGCAGCACACCGAGCCTGCTAGGAGGAGCGGCTGCTGCAGCAAGCTGGTGAACAGAGAGGAAAGAAAGGCACGTAAGAATAAACGGCTGCTGAGACCCCGGGCTGATCAGCATCGCACCAGCACACGCAACCAACCTCACATTTTAGGTCACTCAATTGGCATTCACTTGAACTACAGCTCTCAGAAGGGTTTGTGCTTCCCAGGGCATCCGGCTGGCGACGGGCTGGAGCTCAGTCCCACCTGGAGACAGGAACCAGTCTGCTTTTGGGTCGACTCAGATTCTTCACTCGTGGTTTCAGGACCTTTGGCGGTGACTTTATAGTTCCATTCCCATCACTGGCCTTACTCTCTCTGACAGCAGTGGCTGCTTAGCATTCTGGTGAGAGCTGTTGTCGTACCAGGTAATGCAACACCTCACGAGCACCGCGGGAGCTTAACGATAAGGATTCTGGACAGCTCTCGACAATTAGCAACAGGGCAGGATCTCCCAAGGGGTCTGGATGTGAACGCAGCGATGTCTGGAGGGGCACGCTGCCTGAATGTTCAAATACAGAAACAGATGTTAATTACTCCACATGGCCAGGACATCGTTAGCAGTTAACATCTACTGAAAATTCAAAAGTACAAATTCCTCTGATTATGTCAAATGTGCCCATCCCACCCCAGAAGGCATGACATTTGAATAGTTGCCTTGGCAAATCTCCCTCCCCCCAAGACATCTCCCCTTCTCCCTTCATATTCTCTGCTCTCAAAACAACCTACTTTAATGACATTCATACTTCGTGAAAGTGCTATCTCCTTTGGGACAGGCTTTTATCAGACGGAGGCAACAAGAACCCTTGTCCATAACTGTTTGACTCACCAGCACACTCTCACTTTCTCTATTTTACATCGGGGAGGGAGCAAAAAAGCAAATAAGGGTTCAGCCAGGACAATGTTATCACTGAGCCCCTCTGGGAGCTCGACAGAAGCACGCAAGAGCAACAGACCCAGTTCTGCCCCCACCACTTTGCCCACTCTCCCTACAGCCACACCATCAGGTGCAGCACCATGCCCCTGGGGTAGGTTACGGTGAATTCACAAAGAGTTTTTCTCTTCCAGCGCTGTGCACCACTGAGACTTCCAGGCAGTGGGGAAAAGATGACCTGTGGTGAACACCTGGACATGTGCTGCTAGTGGAATCAAACCAGCAAATGGAGACTGTTATGGAGCAGGCAAGAGGCACCACTCGGGGACCAGTAAAAAGTAAATAAGGGACTGATTAAGGTTCAAGAGGACCACCCTGATCCTTTCAGTCCAAGGGTCTGTGCAGCCCTGGCTACATCAGGAATGCCAGGCCCACTGCATCTTCAAGGCTCTCGACAGTCAAGCTGCTCCCGCTCACTGGAAAGGCTTAAGACTTACAAGAGCTAAAGAGAAAGTGAGACAAACGCCAGAGGACAGAGTACCCCACAAATGCCTACATCAGTCTATGTGACACCATGTCATTTTTCTTGCAGGAGACGTGTTCGCATGCACATGAGCTAGGAAGAGAAACCGCTTAACATCCAGAAGCTTAAAATAAAGCCTTTTGGCTGTGCTGAAATTCCAAGGACTGCCCGAGCTCTGCCTGCTGGCCTGATTCTGGCAGGACCAATATGGACAGGCTGGAGAGCAAGACCCTGACTACATCAGTGCTGCAGCCTCTCTGGAGAGTAGAGCTGCCACAGCAGGGAGCATACAGCACCCAAAGACCTTCGTGCCACGTTCCTACTTCCACCGACCAGCACAAATGCAGGGGAGTTAACTTGTTACCCAGCAAAACTGTCTGAGAATTAACTTCTCTGCAAACCGTTTTGTTACAGGAGCAGAAGGACCTTCTGCTGTCAGGGGAACGCAACACAGTGCAAGCTGGGAAGCTGCCTGTGATTTCCTCAGTAAACCAAAATCATCTGGGCTGGCGCTGGGAACAAGATGCCCAAAGAGAAACTTCGTTGCTGCAGGAAGCGCCACGTTAGAAATGCAGCTGGGCGGTGTCACCGGAGGGGGAAGACAGCTTTTTGTAAGGTCTTGGTCTCTATTTTGCTGAAGTGAATGTGCACTGATAACCCTGCAGCTTTGGTAAGGGCTGCTAATCCCAGGGCTGGGGCGAGAGGCCAGCTTGGCCTCTCTGAGACGGTGCAACCACCACCCGCCTCTAATGCTGATGCTCTTCAGGCCCACAGCACTGAGTGCGTGCCCTGGCTCACTACAAAAGGGGCTGCACTGCAGGAACTGAAAAGCTATTTCTTTTTTTGTGAACACACATTAGAGTTTATACCATTGGCAAAGTGAAGAGGCATGCATTTCTAGAGGAACAGAGATACGGTTCCAATACTGTTTTTAATGTGCGAGCCTAAATCTCGACTTCAGTTTTTAGAAATCAAACTTGATCATCTCAAGCTGGCAAAAATAGCCCTGTGTTCCCTCAAGTTATTTTCTTTTCAACTAGGCAGGGTACAGCACAATAGGAAATATCAGCAGTAATGTACTCAACCTCCAGAAACCCAAAGGGCCAATTCTAGCAACCCACGGCAGCTTTTTAATCCTCCCTGATCTATTTGCCGGAGTTAGACTGAAAATCATGCTGCCCCCAAGCCATTCAGCAAACTCCATGTCCTGCTAATTACATCAATATAAATGTATTATCTTGGCTGTCAAAAATTGGCTGCCTGAACAGGACGACGCTCTGCAATGTAAATGCAGGAAAACAATTGCTCTTTCTGCTGGTGACACATTTCTTTGGATGTTATTCCCCTTCCAGGACTCCCGCTTCTCCCTTCTGCCCAGGCACCAGAGCAGCAGCGTTTTTTTTTTCAGAGCAAGAGGAAACGGCACACTGAACCCCTCATCTTTTAAATGACAGACCATGACCAAATTTGGGGAACATCACAGGCATTTCCTATCAACCAACCTGAGAGCTGCCAAAGCACGGGAAAGCGAGCTGTAAAGGCAAGAGTTAAATGTTTCTCGTGCGCAGACAACAGCCCTTCTGCCTCCCTTGGCTTCCTCAGCTGCCATTGCTAAATGCAAGGCAAGCGACAACACCCCAAATAGCATTGACAGCCCAACAGAAATTTGGTAGTAGCCTGCTCCTCCCTGGCCGGCTCGGTGACGGTGGCCTGGAAAGGGCTGCATAGTTAGGCAGGGTCTAACAGCAGCCAGCAAGGTTGAGGCAAACGCAGGCAGATCCAGGAGGCTTCTGGGGAGCAGACAGGCAGCACGTCTCGTTCTGAGTGGGTTTATGACGGAAAAAGAGGAGGAAGCCACTGACTCACCTGTCCCACCCGTGTAAGGAGCTTTCCCAAGGCTGCACGGTATATGACCTTTCTCAGAGCCCCGAGTTCCAGCAAATTGGCTGTTCACAAGTTTCCTCCCAGCACTGCATGCCAGGAGAGAGCCGTCTCGGCAGGACAGCAGGCTCTGACACACGCTTTCCAAATCAGGCTCCTCTCTCCCTGCCCCTGGGTCTGACCACTGGCAGCCACAGCGCTTTGCTCCAGTCTTCCCCCCCCCCCCCCCCCCCCCGTTTCATAAGGGCCCTTCACTTGGAGATACGCCCCAGGATACATTCCTTCCCGGGCCCCTCTGCTCACAGAAAGGGTCAGAACAAACCCAGGAGCGAACAAAAGCCTGGCTTCAGACAAAGTGGGATAACGGGAGGAAAAAAGCGTTTCTCCCACTTGCATCTCACCTGAGAGCAGATGATGTCCCCGCCAGCACAGCCGCGTCCGCGCGCGCTGGCCCGAGGACTGCCTGGGTCTCTCTCTAGGTCTCACATGCAACGGCTGCAAACGTGGCAAGCTCCCACAAAACCTCCGCGATGGCAGAAAGCAGCATATTTCCCCCAAGATCAAGCCCATCACGCTCAGGTGGCAGAGGCAACATCAGGGCCCAGGTCATTCCCCCCTGCAAAGTATTCGGAGCAAAGATAATGGGTGTCCCATAGACAGCCCACAAGAGCGGCGGGGTAATCAGTGCATCTCACGAGGGCATCCAGGCTGCTCCACGGGGTCACCCAGTCCTTCCGCTACTGCGAGACAGCTCCGAGGCCGGGCAGGACACCCAACCTTTTTTATGTGCAACTTTAGCAGTTTTGGTTTGGTTTCCAATATTTATTCCGATTCAAAAGGCATTATACCTGCCCCATGCCTCGGGTTCCCTTAGGGGCCAAGTCATCAGACTCAAGGAGGCTGCTGTCTTTCCTGCCAAAGCAATATGGCTTAGCAAACACAGCAAGTCACATCCAACCTTCAAAGGCCTCTCCAGCCCTCCAACCCCACCCGGGGAAGGGAGCGATGTTGGGTCTTGCCTCCTGCCTTCAACTGTTAAAGCCTTGGACACAAACAGAAGCTGATGCAACTTTGAACTCTTTAATATCCCCACATCCATCAAATCATGGTAATTTGAATCATGCCTCTCTGACACGTTACGCTACCGCAGCTCGTTCCTCAGGCAGTGCTCAGTCCTGCTCTGGTTCACTCACGGGCACAAGGCAGTCTGTTCAGCAGCGAGTCTCAAGAAATGGCCATGCCAAAGCCACTGGCAGACTCACAGCGTTGCAGTGGGCCAGTCTGCCACTGGGATGCCCTCCCACCACAGGTCTGCCCCAGTTTAGGAGAGGCGGCAGCTCGCACAGAGCACAGCCACGACGCGCGAGTCCCTGTGAGTCCCAGGCGACAATGTGCAAAGTACGGCAAGATCTCTGCGTTCAATCAACAAGGGCTAGAGCCTGGGATCTGCAGCCTATCTCCATCAGCCAGCAGCTGTGGTCTGCACTGCTCATCTCCACCTTGGCATCTCCTGGTCTCCATTACCTCCTGACCGACCCGCAGCAGCGCAGCACTGTCCGTGCATGAACGCCCCAGGCCACGTACAGCAAGCATTTCTCAGATAACCTTCTGTCCGACCATGAAAAACCACCCATCCGCATCCTGGGCCCGAAGGCCTACAGAGCACTGAGCACCGGCTGAGATTCCGATCTGAAAAAACGCTTGGAGGAAACAGGACGACATTTCAAACGCAACATGCACATTATTCGTTCTCCCCCAACAGTTCACCAGATGACCACCCCAAAACATTTGTTTCTTGATGCTTGGGAGAGAAGGGACGTACCCCAGAAGCAGGCGCAGGGAGGGGAAAGGAGAGCTGCTCAGAAAATGGAGAGGCTAGCCAGCATACAGAGCCTTTTCCATCCACTGTAACAGACTTCTGCATCCAGGATCTGGAGGCTGACGTGCAGTAAAATCCAGGGGTCTTGATGAGGCATCGGGGCCCAAACAGCCTTAGGATGCCCGAAGACCCAAGCGTAAGAGCCAGTCAACTGATTCTAAAGGGCAAACTTGCAAATGCTTTAGAAACTCTGCACAAAACCCTCCTTAGCCCTCAGCAGACAAGCTTCTAGCCTGGAGGTTAGAGTGCAGACCTGAAGGACACGCGTCCCTGCTTTTTTCGGGGGGTTCGGCGGCGGTCCCGCCTGGGAGCTGGCACTCAGCCGTGCCGTGCCCGTTCGCTGCCCTAAGCCAGGCTTACCTGCCTGAGAGGAAAACGGGGAGGTTTGCTCTCCCTGGCCTGAGAGCAGAGCGCGCTGCAAGGGCTGGGCGCAGGCAGCTGAGGCTGAGGCACCGCAGCGCAGGGATTCACGAAGCTGCCCCTCCTCTCCCCCCCGCACTCTCCAGGTCGCTAAACCCCGCTCTCGGGGCGCGCAGCCGGGCTGAGGTACGGAGGAGGGCAGCCGCAGCCCTCGGGTCACCTCACAAGACCCCGCCTAAGGCTCCCCAACAGCCGCAGACCCCCGAGGCGGGATCCCCGGCTCCCTCCAGCAGCGGGACACCGACACCCCCCCCCCACCTCCGCCGGGGTCCAGGCCCGGCTCCCGCCGCCCCCCGCCGGGCTCGGGCCCGCGGGCAACAGGTGGTGCGGGGCGGCCCGGGGCCCAGCCGGAGGCTCCGGCCGGGAGAGCTCCATCCCGGCAGCGCCGGTGGGAGCGGCGGCCCGCGGGGCTGCGGCGGGAGGCCCCGGGCGGCCCGTTCCCGCCTCCCCCGCGCTGCCAGAGATCCCCGCCACCCCCTGCCGCCGCTTACCTGGGGGTGGAGGCGGCCGCGCTGGCTGCTCGCGTCCCCCTCCCGCCCCACACTTTCCCCCCCGGGCAGAGCAACTTCCACCCCCTCCCGCCCGCCCGCCCGCCCGCCGCGGCGCCCGGCCGCTCCGCCGGCGCCTTCCTCCCGCTCCGCCGCCGGCCCGGCCTGCCCCGGGAGTCCCCGAGCCCGCCCTTACGCCGCCGCCGTGGCGTAGCGCCCCATCCCGGCCTCCGGGCGCTACGGCGCGGAAACAGCGCAGAGGCCGTCGTGAATAGCACGGGGGGACTACAAACCCCGAGGGACACCGCGCGGAGGAAGCGGAAAGCGGTGACCGAGCGGGGCGCGCCGGGAGCGGTGGTTCGGAAGCCGGGAGCGATTATTCGGGGTCCCGGAGCGGTGGGTCGGGATCCCGGAGCGGTGGGTCGGAAGCCCCGCGACGTTCGAGTGGCCGGCAGGAGTGGGGGAGAGCGGCGGCGAGGCGCGGCCTTGAGCGGGGAGGACTACATCTCCCAGGGTGCTTTGCGGCCGCCGGGGGAGAGCGCCGCCCCCGGCGCGGAGGTCCGGCCCGAAGGCGGCGCTGCTCGCCGGGGCCTTGAGGAGAGCGGGAGGCTTGCGCGGGCCCGAGATCGCGGACGAAAAACAGTTTTTTTGGAGGGGGTGTGTGTGTGTTTGGTTTTTTTCTTTGTCTTTTTCTTGAGGTATGTGAGCCCCTGAAGCGTGTCCCGGCGGCGCGGGGCATCCACTGTCCCGGGGCAAGCAGCAGCGTTAGGAGATGGAGCATCAGGGCTCGGGCGTTCCCAGCACGGAGATCAGAAGCCCGGGGCTGAGCAAAGCCGGGCTTCCCAGCCCTCCCCGCCAGCCCTGCCGCCTTGGAAGGAGCCTAATTACAGCTCTTAATAACCGGGCGGCACATGAAGCAAACCCGAAAGTTGCCTCAGCCCTCCAGGCCATGTGCAAGCCGTACTTCGGCTTCGAAAAGCGAGGAGCTGTGCCAGCGGGGTGGTGGCAAGGACGGGTGTGCCACACCTGGCCCTCCCAAAAAGCTCTCCCCCCTGCAGACTGCAGCCCTGGGGGGCTGCGGCACCAGCGCTCGCGGTGCCGCCGCGCTGCCAGGCCCCTGCAGGTTCCATCCACCTTCCAACCCACAGCCCCTCGCCTGGAATCCGCAGACGTCCCCACCCAGCCCCCAGCCAGTCTCACCTGTTTCCGAAGAACCTTCCAAGTCTCCCACCCCCCAGAGATGAGAAATGGGAGCAGGTCCTGCAGCGCCTGCTGAGCGCGGGGGGGCAAGGGGTGCTCCCCTCCCCGAGTCACGAGTGAAAATGGGGAGGGGGATTCCCAGGTGCGAATCGGCCAACGCGCTGCAGCACCCACACTCATGTGAAATAAATAGTCGTTGCTCCAGCAAAAGCAGCGTTGCTCATGCCACCGTACTTCGAGGGGGGAGTAACGGTTGCTAAATGAAAATAGACAGCTCTTTAATAGGAGAAATGTTATCTTTAGGCCGTTGTATTCCCCGCAAAGGGGACCCGAGGCTTTCTGAGTGGGCACTTGAGGCGAGCTGTGATAGTTTGGGAGATCTGTCAGGCTTCTGTAAAGATGATGCAGGCACCAGAAGCCAAGTGGATAGCTTTTGCTTCTGTTCATCTCTCTGTAAGATGTAACTGCTAGTCATATCGATGCATTTATTTGTAGGCAGATCTCTCCTGGAGGCTGCAGAAGCAGCTCTCCCTTTGTTCTTCAGGGGGGGACCAGGGGAAGAACAGTCCCCCACTGCCCTCACTCACAGGGCTCGGTGCTTCCCCAGAGAGCAGCCTGTGCCTGAGGAAAGTAGTGGATGAATGCTGGCATGTTCTGTTAGGAAGTCACATGAACTGGGATTCACATCACTTAATTTTAGATGTATAAACTGAGGCATGTAAATTGTACCGGCCATCACATCATCATCTGTGAGCAATGGAGAAAGACAGAGGGTTCCAGTTATTCCAGATAAGTTCCTATTTCTGTCACTGATTATAAAGAGAATCGTTCAGCCAATGCAGCAGAGGCATCAATATTTCAGTGAATTGCATTCCTGGAAACGAATGTCCTAGTAGAACGAAAAGCCTCGCTGAAGGCAAGGTAAATGTCATCCACTGCTCTGCCCTGATCAAACCTCATCATCACAGAAAGCAATCACATTTTTCAGGCACTACAACTCCACGCTGAATGTTCCCCATCTTCTCCACCTGCTATGCCTTCTAAAAGGACTGTTTTTTTTTTTCCTGGGGACTGAAGTGAAGCTGCCTGGCTCATTCTGAACCTTTTTAGACAGTGGTGCAAAACTTACTTTCCTTCAGTTGTGGCAGCTTTCCCCCAGTCACTGGGACTTTTCAAAGCTGATAGACAGCAGCTCTGCAAGAGCATCAGCCAGTTCTCCCAGTGCCCCAGGCCACAGCCTGTCTGGCCCCATGGACTTGCAGAGTCAAGATCCAACAAGCAAATGCCGTATGAACCCTCCTGGGCTCCACTCCGTGTCAGTGTAGGCACGGGCGCTGCTGGGACTGCTCCATCTCCTCCTCCAGTAAATGAGCTTGCCTGGCACTGACCACGAGCCAGTATGCAAAGGGACACCCAGGGGGGTGGGAGAAACTAGGAGCTGACCTGGAGCAGACCCAGCTAGCCAAGCGTGAAGGATGGCACGCCCAGGGTTGGTGCCACCCCAGCTTCCAGTCCTTGTTTCCCGAGACGCCAAGCTTTTCATGAATGCTTCCCTCCAGCCTTACCTCCTGCTCTGCCTCCAGTTTACCCTAGCCTGCGACTGGCAAGTGGCTCTTTTCTGGCACCTGCCCTCAACCCTCTCATCTGCAGCCTGAGGAGGTCCCCATGGCTCTCCGAAGGGCTGGACAGAAAGTCAAGTCCCAGAGCATAGGGGTCCATCACCTATGTGGGAGGAGGTCTTCCTCCATCTGTCCCTGAGCTGTTGTAATGGAAGACAGGTAACTGTTGACTAAATATTATATATATATATATATATATATATATATATATATATATAAATAGATATGTGTATCTGTCAATGATCAGAGTAGGGATCTCAAAAGAAAATTGTGCAGCAGACGTACTCCTATGTGTATAGTGTATGTGTGCGTGTAAATCAAATGGACATTTAAGGAAACAACACTGTACAAACCCAGAAGAGTTTTGATTTCATCGTCAAGATGATACATCACCCACATTTAGCACAGGAGGGAAGGAAGACTCGAAGAATTTGAGAGGTATAACTGAGGCCCAGAGTCCCCAAGGGAAGAGCCACACTGTATTTGTAGAGGCACATTCACGGCATGGATCCAGCATGCTGCCAGCGGTACGGTGTCTTATAATGGGTGGGTAGTTGTCCTGCTCGCCAAGGGCCACGTTTCGTCGTCTTCACTGGGACAGGCGAGGCGGTGGTGATGAACTCTCCTGCCATAGTTGTGCCAGGACATGTTCTGTGTCCTGTATTGTCTTTTTGGTGGGGTTGTGACACTCAAACTCCTCCCTGTTTGAGGGAGAGGTATCCATTCCCTCTACTCAGGGAGGATTATCTGTTCCAAAACACCCAGGCAATCCTAAGGCTGCACACTGGGGTTCTACAAGCTCACCCACACCAGTCCTTAGACTTGGGACTGAGTCTGTGGCCCTGAGCAGCCACCTGGGCCCCACATCGTAGGGACGTGGGGGATCAGGGTGGCTCTAGGGCCGCTAGAGCTTTGGGGACGACCATGGGACTCGGGGGGCACTGTGAATTCCCTGTAGTTCTGGGGGGCTTTCACTAGAAGAGGAGAGGTGTCAGGGCTTCCTTGGGGAAATCGAGGAGCCCTGGGGGTATCAGGCATCCCTGTGGGTGTGGGGTGTCCTCGGGAGATGTCAGTCTCCAGTTCTGCACAAGCATTGCAGGGGGGACCTCGGGAGATGTGGGGTACCCCAACCAGTCTCTCATTAGTGGGGTGGGGGTGTCAGGGGGCATCCCGCCATCCCCATGCTGGGGAGGTGGGGCACCCCCAGCTGTCACTCACCGGTGGGGCGGTGGGCTCGGTGTTATCCTTGGGGCACGGGGCGCAGAGTTGGGGGCCAGGGGAAGCCTCCCCGTCTGCAGCAGCATCAGGCTTGGCCAGGCTGAGCAGCAGCAAGTTGGTGCAGGCAAAGGTTCGCTTCAGGCTGCAGCAGTTTGGGGGAAGAGCGCTCTTGGGGGGACTGACACACCATGGGGCAGAGGTAGTGACAGGGACCCCCATGGCCATGGGAAGGAAGGGCAGGTCTCAGCCCCCCCTGCAGCCCCCACAACTCCTCTGTTAACCCCACTGCCCCCGATAACCCTCAATAGCCCTCATCAACCCCCCAGTCTCCCCCTTGACGCTCTACCTTCCCCAGTGTCCCCCAGCAGCACCCACTGACTCTCCAGCTCCCCCAGGGACCCCCTCCAGAGGATCCTACTGCCTGCTCACAGCCCACAACTGCTTGTCCACTTGCTGTCCCACCCTGAGCTGCCTTTTACCTGAGGAAAGACACAGACGCAGGCCTGGCGAGGGCCTGGGGGGCTGCGGGCTGAGCATGGGTCCCTGACGTGGGGTCCATGCCCTCCCTGATCTCCTTCAGCTCCAGGAGTTTTCAGCCCTGTGCTGGCGACAGCCCTGCTGGTACGAGTCCCTGTGGGGACGGGCTACATGGGGTCTGGCTGCCCCCAGGCACAGCAGCTCCTGCCTGTCCCCTTGACATCACAAACACCGTCGATACTGGTCACACATGGTTCCATGAGGTCATGAGGGGCTTCTGTCCCAGCACCTCCCCTTACGTACCTCAGATTACCCTTTGGATTGCTGGTTTAACCATTTCTATCCCTAAAGTAGCTAACAAAACACTTAGAATATCTCGAGTTGGAAGGGAACCATAAGGATCATCGACTCCAACTCCCTGCTCATCAAGAGGCCAGTCTTCCCCAGTACAAAGTGCCCCAAGTACATGGAGCCAGAGAGGGCAGGAACACTCCAACTCGGGAAGGGCTGAAGACAAAGAAGGAAGCACTAAAGGGTTAAGAATAAAGAATTTTTGGCAGCAGTGCCACTTCCACTACCCTCTCTTCACAGAGAAGTGGGATGACGTAGGTGGAAGCTTAATTTTCACTGGAAATCTCCCAGAACTTAGTAGAAAAGGGCTTGCTAGACTGGAAGAGGACAGCACTGTGTGTGTGCAGGAGCTCACCCCAGCACCCCTCCTTTGAGCAGGCTGCTCCACAATCCTCTGGGACATACAGCATCTCCTGTTACTGTAAGGCTCACATTGTCCTGCTGCCAGATCTTGTCAGGCCAGATAAAAAGTTGAGGAAGCGGGGTCAGAGATCACCAGGACTTAGCAATGAAGCTCACTAAAGGCAAAAAGAAACTCCCACACGAGTAGCAACTAGAATAATGTGGACTAAGGAGAAAGTAAATGACAGAAAGGCCGAGGCGACGCAGAATAAAGACTCTTTTATAGAAGAGATAAAGCAGTTGCAGTTCTTGCCTTTTTTGCTGAAGAAGGAAATCGGCTTTTAGCCATCAGTGGTGCTCTTCAGGTTCTTCCTTCATGGGTGGAATAATTTCTCCCGTCTCTAAAATTCTGTCCCCCTGATGGAATGAGAGAGCATGGTGAGCATTTCCTCCTACACCCAGTCTCTCCCTTCACACAACACAGTCTTTCAATTAAGCTGTAACTGTCAACACTTCCAGACAAAAATAAAAAATAAATATCTAACTACAACTTACTCAGAACACTCATATTCACTCAACATTTCTCAAGATGCTGAAATAACAACACCGCCAAATTATCTAAAACCTATATTTGCTTTACCCTTTTCTTTTCAGCTACAGAACAGCAGCCAAAACATTTTGAGACTATCCTGTTTTAAAAATGTATATTGGGCTTACAGCACTGCCTAACCACAGCTGGGAGTCTCCAAACCCAAGGCCTGTAGCCTGTGAAGAGCTAGATAATCCTTCAAAAGTCAACCTGATGCCCAACTGCTGTTTGCTACAGCTTCAGGCACCATCTCAGCCTGCTGAGCTCACCTAACTTGAGTGACTAATTAGGCTGAAGTCAGAGGCCCACAGTTTGACCTTCAGTATGTGGCTATGTGGTTGTTAGGGATGGAACTTTTTATAATTTTGTTTTAGATAAAGCACAATTAGGCAGGTGTTATGCAAAAAAGCGCGCAGGTGTTGGAAACAGAGTTCAACTTCTACAAGAATATTTGCCCACTGACTTGTCATACCAATCAGTGAGGAACGGCTTGGAGCACCATGAAAACAGTAAAGCCCAAACAATCTAACATGCTCCACTTCATGAAACTCATGCCAAGCTGAGGTGACAGGACTGTATCCCTTTGGGGACGCCTGAGCACAGGGGACCTTCAGGGACATCTGGGACCAAGCTTGTGTGGCCAGAACTGACACGCTCCGCACCGAACGCCTCCTGACAATTGCCGCTCATCTCAGTGAGAAGCAGAACCACCCCTGTGTCATTCCACGCATTAAGAATCACACCTTCACAGAGGCTTTAAACACCCAAACCCCTTCACAAAGTCGCTCTTACTGTGCTGTAACTAACGCTTGCATTCCCACGAGGGAGTGTTTGCATCTTCTGCCCAGGATGGGCAAAGTCTGCTGATGCAGAGGGAGGTATGACTGAAACAGAGACTGTCTGCTCTGAGAAATGAAAACTGCTCAAAAATACTGTAACTGGACTGCTCCAGGGTAGCCTGCTCACAGGATCAAGCTCATCCTCCTAGAAATTCTCCCTGCACAGCCACTGACAAGCATGCACTTCTCCCCAGATCACCCCTTTTCTACCTGCTTTAACAAAGCTGGAAGATAAAACAAGTATTAACAGACTTACTGGGAATATCCGTGGATTTGACATAATGATGCCATGTGGATTTTTCTGAAAGTGGGGGGGAGAAGAAAGGGAAGGGTCAAAGAAAAAGAAGTGTTACTCTGAGAAAGCACAAAGGATTTCCAAACTGGAGGAAACAACCCTTCTAAAACAGACACTCTACTGAGTACAGGGCTCATTAGGCCGTGTTCCTTCCACTGGCTAAAGAAATTCCTGAGGCTAATAGAATTACCCCTCCTGAGCAAGGCAAGACTGTGGAAGTGGAAGGTCTGTCCCCACATCAGTGCACTGGCCATTCCCCTTCCCCACACCAGCAGCTGCAGTCGGGTTATCCCCGGGGTCCTCCAGGAGAGCAAGAATTTGAACACAGTTATCCATCTCACAGGAGGCAGCACGGTCAAAGCCGGTTGCTACCATGAAAGATCCCCCCAAAAAACACATTTGTGCCACCTAAGCAGGGGAAAACAAGCTGTGGAACAGACCGTGGGGAATCACCTTAACCTGCAGGTTTACGCAACCGCTTACGCGGCTGTTTGTTGTGTCAGACCCCCCTCTACAAGAGGTCCCAGACGTCCCTCGTTGTGCCCTGAGCCCCCTTCCCCGTGCTGCCCTCACAAGCCGCGCAGAGGGGCCGCACGCACCATGGCGTGGTACTTCAGGTAGTAGAGGATGATCCAGGCGGGGATCAGGACACGCGTCAGGACGAAACCGCCGGTCTGGTAGGCCTTGAACACCTGCGGGGGCACAGGGACGCGGGTGAGGCCCGGGAGCGCCCGCCCGGTGCCCGTGTCCCCGTCCCCCCGCTCACCTGGTGCCGCCAGAACCCCCCGGGCCGCAGGAAGCGCTCCCAGAAAGCGGCCACCGGCCCCAGCTGCTGCCGCGGCAGGACGGGCTCCCGCTCGCTCAGCTCCTGGTCCCGCAGCCAGCGGCGCCGCAGGGCGCGGAGCTGCTGCAGCCGCAGCTTCTCGTCCTCGCTGTAACCGCTCATGGCACCGCCGGCCCCGGTCCCGGCCCCGGTCCCGGTGCGGCCTGGCCCGGCGCCGCGTCCTCCGTCCTTCACCGCGGCGCGTAGCAGTGACGCCATCAGGACGCACCGCGGTGCGTCATCAGGGCGCGGGGGGGGGGGGGGGGAAGCCGAGCCCGATGGGTGCGTGTGGGCCTGGGTAGCTCAACCGGGAGAGCGTCAGACTTTCAATCTGAAGATCAAGGGTTCGAGCCCCCATCCAGGCGGGAGGGAGGGTTCCGCCTTCTTGAGGCGGGGGCTCCTCTGCAGCCCCTCCCCGGGGCGGCGATCAGGCAAGGCCGGGGATGCGCGGCCTGCGGGGACCATGGCCGGGCCGGGGCTGGCGAGCCGCTTCCAGCACCGCTTCCTGGCGGCCCGGCAGCTCCGCTCCTTCCCCTGGCCGGTGCGTGTACGGCGGGCAGCGGGCGGCCGGCCCCGGGGCCGAGGAAGCCTCAGCTTGATTTATTGATTCTGTTTTAGGAATTGGAACAGAACCTGCGGACTTCACCGGATTCCTCCCTACTCGTGGACATTCTCCACAAGGTGAGGCGGGGTGACTCGGCGGGACAGCGGGCCCAGGCTGCCACGAACGCGCGATGCCGCCTCGTGTGACTAAAGCGATCGCTGGTTTTCACTCGTCATTACAGAGATGTTGGGCCCAGCAAATTTCCTTCTCTTCCTGTTATTTAGCTGTTCGTAGCATCAAAATTAAGACCTGTGTGCCAGAGCAGAGGTGACTTGAATGCCACAAGCACGACAGCCCAGCTGGGCGTGTGTGTTGGCGCTGCCGGGGTCGGGGAGGAAGGTGCATCAGCCCTTGGGGCGCTTAAAACTTTCCATGTGGATGGGAAACCACAACGAAGGCAGCAAACCGGAAAGAGGAGAAATAAGAGAAAAGCGAAAGAAGGAGGAGAACAAATTGGACTACCTTTCCACTCAGTTTTGGTATTTACTTTGAAAAGCGAAAAGCACATTTCCTGCTGCAGATCTGTAAACAAACCAACTGATCAGATTTCATTTTCTGGCTCAGCATCACTTCTCTTAGCCACAGACTGAATTGCAATGCATGTCATGAAACAAAGAGCCAATTAATAGCGGCCTGGCCTTTCTCTGGCCCTTTACTGCCTTTCATAAAATCTTCACTAGGTAATGGGTTTCAACTGCTGTTCTTGTTTTAGACCATTCTCCACCCTCTGTGTGTAAAATATCCCCCCTCTACCAAGTACAGAAGATGCTTTCTAACTGAACTCATCAAAAAGGTAGTGCTTACTTTTCATGTTGCAACTTTTTTTTTCTCCTTGAAAATAATGGCAGTGTAATATATTACGGCCAACAATGCATTAAAATGGGACTTAACGTGTGTACGTTTTCTGTTTCATGGCAAACAATTTGATACCTGAAACTGCCCTGTTCTCTTTCGCACAGCATGAATCCACAGCAGCTGAACCCCTTGACGAATTGTATGACACACTGGCAGATATTTTAAACGAAGAAGAAACTACTCACTGTTACAAAAACTACTTACTGGTAAGAACTAATGCTGCATTGTTGTAAATCACTTCTAATTATCTGAACTAAGCAGTAATTGACTTTAAAAATAACCCCCCTAGAAACCCGGAGTGCTTCCTACCTTTTTCCAGGCACTAATGTTGACTGTGAACTGTAAAGCCCATGGTCTGTGCTGATGCATCTTTGCCTTCTTGTGTGTCCTCCAGCCCACAGGCGACTGCGTTACCCTTTCCGAGAGCGTGGCAATTATCTCTGGAGGAACCACTGGGCTCATCACATGGGATGCTGCTCTTCATCTCACCGAATGGGCAATAGAGACCTCTGCAGTTTTTAGTAACAGGTAACGACAGCAGCACAGGGAGAAAGATACTTGCATTCATATTGTGAGCAAGCTATGCAACTGTAATTTAATAATATTTACCCCCAAAATATCTGAAATGAATACATCCTTTTGCTACTGGATAACTGCTGCTCTCGTCTGTTCTGCAACAGTCCAACTTTACAAGGTCCTCTCCTGGATTAGTTCTTTTAAGAGAGGTTTTAAGATCAAAACCATTACACCACACAGTCAGACATGCTCTGGTAAGCAACCTGTTAAATTTCAGCTACCGCACTGTCTAGCCAGTAACTTTATCTGGTGTGCTTCACTCCACGATGGGATTCCTCTCACCGAACTTTAGATGCAACCATCAGATGTGCACATCTGATCTCATCGCCTTGACTTTGTTTAGAGGCAGTTCAGAGGAACAAGCAGTTTTGAGGAATGATTTAAAATACCGACCTCACAGGGTCGTGCTGCTGAAGTGTCTGTTTCTCTCTACTGACTATGAGAAGATTTGGACAACCAGTTCAGATGGAGACAACCATGCTGCAGGAGTCTAAATATGGGTGGGAATGTGTCTCATCCCTGCAGTGGAAATGCTCTGTACCATACGCAAAAGCAGTATTTCAAGTAATTAATTTTTATGCTTAGGATTGTATTTTCAGTGTTTACCAACTCTCCCAGTTATTTGAGACAAATATTACAGTGTAGATGGTTTCCTCCAAAATTATTGAAATAATCTGTAGCTGATTTTACCTTTAGATCTACTTAGAATGTTTTGATTTCCTAACTCAATCTAGAGTCCTAATAAGTACTTCTTTTACTCCATTACCCTTCAGGACAGTCTTGGAATTAGGAAGTGGGATCGGCTTCACTGGAATTGCAATCTGTAAAACCTGCAATCCCAAAACATATATATTTAGTGACTACCACCCCTGTGTTCTCAAACAGCTGACAGAAAACATCCGTTTGAATGGCTTTGCCTTGGAGCCTGAAACTACCCAGCAACCCCCAACGGAGTCCTTAGGCCAGGAGGCAAAAGCAACAAATTACCAAAAACCAAAACTAATTGTTACGGAACTTGACTGGGGCTCCGTTACAGAAAAACAACTGTCAGATCTTCAACCTGATGTCATCATTGCAGCAGGTACTTCCACTTCTGATTATGGCTCGCGGTGTGCTGTCGTGCAGGAATAAGCAGGTTAGAGAAACCCAAAGGTAGTTGTGTGCAGGACTCGCTCAACCCTACTTCAGTTACCGTATCTGGAAGTGTGTGACAGATCTCCCAGTTCACATTGCCATTTTGTCTTTTTCAGATATTCAGCGGTCGTGTACATAAGGCCAAATACCAAGTATTTTTTCCCTTCCCCATTTTTTTTTAAATCCAGAAACAGATGATAAATCTGTCACTCTTAACAGCCTCATCAGTAATAACAGGCAATCTTGGCGTTGAGGGATAACATTTTTTTTAAAAAAAGAGAACACAAACCACAAACCTTTTTTGGAACTTGCCTATATATAGATCTGGAGGGAGTTTATAGAAAAATCTAATAATGGAAAATCTAGCAATAGTAAAATTTCTTACCTGTAGCTACAGGATTTTGCTCCCCCATTTGGGGCTTTACCAAGCAAAAATTACTTCAGAATTTAGATGAAGAAATGACAAAATATACCGCCTTTGTCATCAAAGCATTAAATAATGTGACTTCTGTAAAATGAAGTCACCATACATGCGTTACCTGATGCCAACTATGCCGTTCAGAGAAGGCACAAACCAGTCCAAGCTGGACTCAGGAAGGCAAGGCAACTCAAAACTGAAGGTAACTTCCATGTTACCCACTATTTGCTGTTCCTAGTTACTGCAGGACATTCCCTTGTTATGGTGCATCAGGAGAAATGTGTCACTGGTACGTGCATGTGCCTCGACGTTTCTGCGTAGTAAACAACCACCACTTAGTATCAGTCCTGAACACAAGACTTGACACATTTCAGAATCACAGTGCTAATTAGTAAGGCTGACATTTTGTACCCTGTAGTGATCAGTTTTACTTTTCGTCACTATTTCTGCTCTCAAATAAATTATTCAAGATGAAAACCGCTGCCATTCAAATCAAGTCTATTGCAATCAGCCTCTAAAATACAGATTTTGAACAATGCAGTTTCATTCTGTTAAGGACAGTCATCAGAGAGCACCAACACTCAATGTTTTTGCTGTCTCCCTTAAAACGGGCTTATATACATTAGCTGACAATCCATTCACAAAAAGGAACGCTGTTTTTTAGGGATTTTTGGACTGATACTAGAGACGAGGGCAACTTGACAGGGCATGTAAGATAGAGGCATTTTCTAAGATTTCTTCTTGGGAATTTTTAAGCCCTGAATAAGAAAATCATTCTCTTGCAAGATGAATATTTTAGTATCTTTTTTTTTTTTGTAGTTTTCATTCTGCTTTTTGCTCAATTCTCAATAAATATAGAACGTTTTCCTTTTTATGCAGATGTGGTATATGATCCAGAAATAATTTTAGCCCTTATTGGTATGCTACAAAAACTCTCCAGTTCCAGAGCAGATAGAAAACCTCCTGAGGTCTACATTGCTTTCACCATTCGAAATCCAGACACGTATCACCTGTTCCACGCTGAACTTGGTAGGTGCCTTTTTCATGGAGTGGACCAATAGTTTTGGCCTTTTTAACTATTACTTAATCTGTAGTAGAGAAGAATGGGAGCATTTTCTGGTGGTGGGTGCTGTGCAGTAGTGGGAGTCTTATCCCAGAACTGGATTTAAGAATGGTCTGCCTAGGAGCAGCAACTTTTCCACGTGGCTTTGATCAGGAGATTGGAACTTAGCTTTTTGCTATATCCTGTCTATCACAACTCATATCTGTTAGTGCCAGCTTGAGATGAAGTGCAAGTGTGGTGGCAACACAAAACTAAAAAAGGGTTAAGCTTTAAAGAGGAAAACCATCTGTGCTGCACTGTCATAGTGATAACATCCAAGATGCAGCCTAAAACCTTTCTCTTAACTGTTCGAGGGTTAAAAAAAAAAAGGGAACAATTTTAGGTTTTTCTTCGTATATTCTTCAAAAGCCTGTCTTTTGCAGTCTACTGGCTGCAGAGCCAGTCTACATCAATGGCTTAATTCACAAAATTATGCTAAGTGTATATCAGAAGCATTCATGTTAATTTGAAAAAATACATACTCCTAAGAATGTGCCTGTAGCTTGGTTTAATAGTGTGCTAAAGATCTCTTCCTACAGAACTTGGCATGCAACTTCTGCTCTTCATTTTATTAAGCAGAAATAGGATTCCCAGTGTTTCTCTTTGCAGATAAAGTTGGGATCAGATGGCACGTTATTCCAGCCCACAGCAACAGTATTTTTCTGTATGACATGCAGCCAAATGTAACTATTCTACAGCTGTTTATATAGACTTGGAAAAGATGACATAACTAGAATTTTCAGACCAAGATGAGCTATCTTGTCCTTGCAACAAGATTATCTTGAGTTCTAGAAATGGACACGAGAGGGACGGCGGATACCACTATGCTTGGACTGTTGTCAGAGTGTTAAATTTCTTCCTATAATTGTCAGCATGTATGCAAGCAAGCTGCTGCCACTGAGAAGTATCTGTGAACCTCAAGCAAGAGGAAAAAAACCCACCCTAATCATACTGCACTTTGATCTGTAAAAGGCAACAGAATTGAACTATTTGGGTTTTTTCAACTGTGTTTTGATTTGTAAATAACGGAGGCATATCTACAGGATCACAGTATGAATATCCCACTGACAAGGGAGGAAAACAGTTTCACAGTAATAAATATTTTTTAATATTAAAACCAGCTGTAATTGTCTAGTGTTTTTTTATACCTGTCTGCATATACTTACATACTTGCAGTGTGGGTCATCTTAAAACTAATAACCTGTACAGTGACTGGTAGATAGCATCACAAGCCTACATGAGGCTGTAAGAGGAGATAATAGACTCTGCTCTAAGTCAGGTGCATCTTTACTGTCACATAAGGACTGTGATTTTCACAACGAGCTCTTGGGAAGCCTCTCAAACTGGCCAGAAAATGAAAAAAGAATTGTGCTCTGTAGCAATACTCCATATAGACTGCAAGGAGGAAGAATTGAGCTCACCTTCTTTGAAACTTTCCATAATCCAGTAATCATTTTCCTGTTAAACTGTATTGGTCCTGAAGCAGAAAATCAAAGCAGCTGCTCTTTCTCTTGACTTCCCTTTCTGTCCTTTGTTTTAAAAGCTACTTAAAAGAAAATGAACAAATACTTTAGCCTCCTCCTTCTGTAGTAATGGAGAGAAAATGGACAATAGGTAACTTCAAACTTGTTGAATCATCTTATTCTTCAAGCTGAAGGAGGCTGTGACTGCTACTATTAAGTTGGATACTCAGTAGTAACCCCACCCTGGGTTTTAGCTACCTCTCCCCAAGAAGGAAGAATTCCAAGGTACTACTTATAGAGTAAATGCATGCTAACAGCCCGAACAAGAGCTCCTTTATCTTCCCTTACTTGAAGAATTTTGTGTCACTCAGAAGTTCTAGACAGATGGCTCATTTTAGATCTAAAAAGTGTTATTACAGAAGGATGAAACCTCTCTAAAGCTTTTGGCATTACTGTTTAATTAGAGAAGTGCTCAGTTTACCTCTATGTGCACATCAATGGCTAAAGGGGAATGGCTACAGCACTAGACAGGATTGTGCTTGAAAACAGTAGAGGAAAAAAAAATTTTAAATGACCAAATATATTTATGAATCATTCTTCAGTCAATAAACCAATGAAATTGTCAAACTCCTGCACTAAGCAACTTGGACTCTTATTTTCACCTCCCAACCAGTGGAACCAAATCACTGTCAACATTTTTTTTTTCACGAGAGTCTACTGTAACCACAGTGCAGAAGGGAAAAGGCAAGATTAGCAAATGGCTGTCTAGCTTGACAAAAGCAGGTATTAAATGATTACTCAGTAAGCAGGTTTAAAAATGCTGGTGCAGAACCCACTGTAATCCTCTACCACCACTGAAGTAGGAGCTCTGAAGAACAGTAACCACATGATAATACCAAGCACATTTGTGCCTTAAATGACTGACATCTATTTTATAATCAAAAAGGTGATGAAAAAAGCATCTTGTAAGCATTAGGTCTGCATATGAATAATTATATATATCATGTTAACAATGAAAAGATGAAGGGTATACCCAAGTGAGCACTCAGAAAGTGAAGCGCTCTTTTATCAAGTTACACATACTTTAGTAATTGTGTTTTGGTTTTATTTTTATCTTCTATATTCATGTGTTCAAAAAGAGATGAATTTTGATGTTCTTTCTCAAGGTAAATGGGCACATTCACTTCAGTGTACAAGGACAACACTCACTGAAAGGTCTGTTTTCCTCTAAGTGTTCAATAAAGCTGTTACATACCAGTGGCTGTGCTTGCACATTCTTGCACACACTGTAAAAAGGAAAACAGTGGAACAAAATGGTTCTGTCTCAATGAAGTTATGCAAGAGGATACTCAGCACTTGCTTGGGGAAGACTAGCCAAGAATATTAACTGGTAGAAAAAAAAAAATAAAAATCCCCCTGTATTCTCAGTTCAAATAAAACAAATAAAATAGAAGGCATCTCCCATTTCTAAGAAAATATACCCAAATCACCTACCAAAGTGCTTATTGTACAATAGGTGTAACTGGTAATAGTTTATATATGCATTCAGGTATCTTCAAAGTGACCTTTAAGCAGCACAAGTAACAGATCTTGCACATGAGTTCCTAGAGTTAACTAAGCCTCCTTTCCACTTTTCTGAAGATTCATCTCAAGTGATAAGGAAGGAAAGGCAGTCCAGATGGCAAGGCTCAAACTCTTCAGCGCAGGGATTATGTCTTCCCTCAAGATTTACACTGTTTGCACACAACAAATAGCCTCGGCTGCGCCTTCAGCACTTCCCTTACTCACATGAGAAGCTCAAATTGTAAAGGAAGATGTGTGTCCAAACACTTGTTCCAAGATGAAGTAGTTAAAAACTGCAACTATAGACAATACAAAGTATTTATTCACTATTTATCAAATCTGTGCAGCTCCGCTAATGTATTGCCTTTTTTGACATCCTCCTCCCCCACAAGAAGTCATTCATTCTGCTCAAACAAAGGAAGAACAGTCTGGTCCCAACTCTCATCCCAGCGCAGCTGCTGGGATGCACGAAGGTTTATTCTAAAGTTGTGAAGTTTGCCTTCCAGTGTAGGAAATCCCAAGAAAAGCATCTGTAATTTAAAAAGGAAAAACATGGGAAAATACCATCATGTCACATTTTAGGTTCATTCTAGCCTCCCCACTGTTAACCCTCATCTCCAATGCTGCAGTAAGAGCGCGGCTTGGTCCGGCCTATAAATAGCAAACAATGACAACATTTAAAATGTTCTTCCCAGCTTCAGATTCATATTTAAATAGAAGTGAGACCAATGACATTCACCAGAAAAAGCAGTATCTTCTGAGAACACAAAATACACACATAATAGAGATGGAAAGGTGGCTCACATGGTAGCAACCTTTGCAGTTATAGCTAGTGGGAAAGAAAATCAGTCAAGCCTTTACCTTTAGTTGTTCTGCAAGTTCATTCGAGTCCCTAAATATCAGACCATTTTTGTCGTGTTTCACAAGTTCATGTAAACTGTGAACAAAAGTCATAGAAGAAAACATGAGACAAAAAGCAGCAAGAGGGGCATACACATTTAAAAAAAACCCCAAAAATCGCATTATGACATCCGAAAAGATCATGTCTAGGATGTCAGTAACATAATGATCCTTCACGTCTAGGTATGAGCTTCACACCTGAAAAAGTGGGACAAAGGTGACAGTTTTAAACATTTAAAGATTATTTCTCCCTTCTATGTCAGGCTATTTAAATCGACCATCACAGTACAAAAGGACTCTTACTCTGTGCCGCTCATCTGAACATACATTAAAAATCAGGGCAATAATCTACTTTAAGATGAGCCCACAAGGATAATTTATCCATGATCCAGTTCACGATATCTTCACAGAGAATTTATCTTTCTTTCTAAGAGTTACTGTTTCCCCAAAGGACCATAAATTCTAAGACTGACAATGCATACACTCATCCCCTCACAGAACACAGACATATCTTTGCAGAAGGAAACTTTTTTTAAATGAAGTACAAAGGATTACAGGGTAGTTATTTTTTAAGGCAAGTGGTTGCATTAAATGCTCCCAACTTTGTAGAAACTAGTGTTAATTTTTAAACTTAAAACCATCTTCATTTCTAACCTACTGAATTAAAAAGTTTTTATGGCATAATACTGGAATCTCATTTAATACATGCAGCAGCTGCTGAACTCCTGCTTTGTATGACTACCGGTTTATATGATCCACTTAAACTGTATGAGGATAAACCAGCTCTTACCATTCAAAATATATTGCACACACAGGTAAACAACAGCCAAACATATCTACCACCTTCATGGGTAAATCCAAACCACTAGATGATTTGTGGAGACACACCCCCAGGTCTGCTGAGCCTGAAAAGCAAACAAAACAGACAAGAGGCTGAATTCTCTGAAAGCAGCTCTTCTAGTCTTACTGTAAACCCTTCTATTTATGTACCACTTTGGGTGATGTACGTTAAACATGAGCTACCTTCAACACCATCCAGAGTGACTCAATTTTAATCTGTTACCAAAATTAGTCAGGCTTTGGAAACATACCAGGCAAGTGCATATTGAATTAAAGGGAATTTTAAAATTTCACTTATCCTAAAACAGCCTTTCTGCCTCTTACTCTGCTAAGAATAGGTAAATGCCAGGAAAGCTCCATCACAGCCCAGACAGGATATGTTACATGGCTCACGAGCAACCTCTTCCAGTTCAAGGGATTTCAAAATAGAGAAATTACAGCATGATTTTATAGGTATTATATTCATTAGTTAAAAAGTACCAAATAAACACAGTGGTTTACAGCCATATAAATTCGCAGGCTCTAACCCTGCAGTATGTAGATCAAGTTGAATATGTACTTTAAGCTTACTCATACTTTATGTTAATACAATCAGCACATAGAGGTAATGCTATTCCAAGGACATGTTTATTTAAAATTTCAGCTTCTTTTGGTTGCTCGGCCAAAAACTTTGATTTCATTTACTGAAGTGACCCTGAAACTGCTCAGGCACAGTTTCAGCACAGTTAGAAGAAACAAAGAGTACAAAGCACAGGCTAAAATAGCAACATGGGTACCATGCCTACTTCTTAAGAGAACTGAAAAACTGTAATAGAGAAATTAAGCAATTTTGCCGGCATGAATCAAAGCCACAAATATACTGTCACTAACCAGTAACTTCATTCACTCACTGTATTCTACCAGCTTCTGTGCAAAATCTCTTACCAGCTCTCTTCACCAGTACTAAGCTGTTTTTCACACACTCCCAAACCTATTTCATAATCCACTATTTACCAAGCAAAAGAGGGTAATCCTCAGCTTCGAGCCATGGTGTACAGATCTGGATATGTTTAAAGTGCAGTTTATTTATCAGTCCACTGTAGTAGTCTTTTAGAGGTCCTTTACCTGTGTACAACAGAAAAGTACATATGTAATAGTTTTATCAAGATGACTGAAAGTAGCGTGGCCTGTGCATCTTACTGTAGAGCTGACAAAATCCTGTTGTATCAGGTACATTAAAAACAGTACCAACTACAGTCCCCAAAAAGACACATAAAAGACTAAGTCCCCTTGAAAACAGCGTGAACCTAGACTTCTCTCTTACTCAGTATTTAGAAGAGCATGCCATCAATATAGAATCATTTAGGTTGAAAAAGACCTTTAAGATCATCAAGTCCAACTGTTAACCTGGCACTGCCAAGTCCACCACTAAACCGTGTCCCTCAGCACCACATCTACACCTCTTTCAAATACCTCCGGAGATGGTGACTCAACCAATTCCCTGGGCAGCCTGTGCCAGGGCTTGTCAGCCCTTCTGGTGAAGAAATTTTTCCCAATATCCAATTTAAACCTCCTCTGGCACAACTTGAGGCCGTTTCCTCTCATCTCATCGCTTGTTACTTGGGAGAAGAGACCGACCCCCACCTCGCTACGACCTCCCTTCAGGCAGGTGGAGGGAGCGGTAAGGTCTCCCCTCAGCCTCCTTTTCTCCAGGCTAACCCACCCCAGTTCCCTCAGCTGCTCCTCATGAGACTTGTGCTCCAGACCCTTCCCCAGCTCGGTTGCTCTTCTCTGGCCGCGCTCCAGCACCTCAGTGTCTTTCTCGCAGCGAGGGGCCCAAAACTGAACCCAGTATTCGAGGTGCGGCCTCCCCAGTGCCGAGTGCAGGGGGGCGATCACTGCCCTGGTCCTGCTGGCCACACTAGTGCTGACACAAGCCAGGATGCTGTTGGCTTTCTTGGCCACCTGGGCACGCTCTGGCTCCTATTCGTCCGGCTGTTGACCAGCACCCCCAGGTCCTTTGCTGCCGGGCAGCTTTGCAGCCGCTCTGCCCCAAGCCTGTGGCCTTGCAGGGGGGTTTGTGACCCAAGTGCAGGACCTAGCACTTGGCTTTCTTGAACCTCATCAGATTGGCATCAGGCCACTGATATCCCCCTGCATTGACCTGAATTTTGCCTATGGCCATAAGATAACCAAATAACTAATGACAAATATAATCAGCACAATTGGCCCTTCAAAATCACACTCAGTTTTAGTTTGCTGTCAGTGAGAAAGTTGCCCAAACAGCATTCATTCTGTCTACACAATTTTTTGGCAAAACCTCATCTCAATGCTGATCTTAAATTCTTCCTAACATGGAATAATGCACAGCTGTACTAGATAGAGAGACCAAGAGCTTCTCCTCTTTAAAGACATGCCATGATTACATGGCTGTAAAAGTCCAACTATAAATCACTATTCTTAAAACTAGACAAAAAGAGAACAGCCCCTCCTCTCTCTTCACCATTAACAAAAGAGTCAATAGAGAACAAAAGCGAAAATGAAGTCTTCTGTATTATCACTGAAAGAACTGTAACACGAATAAACCATTACCTGTTATCACACATACTAAAGATGGAAGCTTGACTCCCTCATTGATATACTGCTCATAATCTGGAGAAGATAAAAAACAGTTTAGTCAACAAATATACAGATACTTGGTTTAAGAATGGTCACAATGTATTAATTATCTGGATTCCTACTCCAAGGAATTTCTTTACAAGGATATAACTAGTAAGACAGTAGTAAATTTAGCAACATGAAAATTGACAAACTTCTAGGGAAATAAATTGTCTGTTTAAAATGCACTATTCATAAAGCATTTGTTCAACCACACCTTATCAGCTGTTTCAATCAATTTAGAAACTGCAGCTCTAAAGTCTACAAGATAAGACAATGAGTATTCCCTTCTTTCATTCTGGCAGATGCCTAAGGAGAGTATATGCAATAGCTCAGAAAACAAAACTACAATTTACAAGCTACCTAGAAATATAATTCTCCCTGACTACTTTAACTGAATACAGATGTTGCACTACTACTATATTTCAACTACTACTCTTAAACCACTGCTAATTAATCAAATACACCTGCATTTTCATATGAATATGGAAGCACTGTTCTTTAGCAAAACCCTTCATAACTATCCAGAATACAACCATTCGCCTTTGAATAGGTGACATTAATTCCTTCATACATACCTTCTAAAGCTTTTAAAAGGACTGAAAAGTCTTCATCCTCTGAAAGAGAAGGCTTTATTAGTGACATTCATATTTCTATCATTTATAATGAATTATTGTCTTTAAATGATCAAGATTTTCCTTATCTTCACCTACATGATTGAAGTATGAACCATGCTTCCCGTATTAAAAAATCTGCTGTAACTATTTTCATAAATAAAATTCTATAACCATATACAGTGCTTACTTGCTCCCCTTCTTGGCAACGCGGCAGACAAACAAGCCAGAAATACTGCACATCCTCAAAACTATCAAGTTAAAATTTTCTAGTTTCTAAAGCTAGAGAACTGAGTGTAGAAATTGCCCTGTTAATTTACAGACAATTCTGCCTATGGTTACTAGCAATGGATTTGTTCCTATCCTCTGTTTCCTTTTTCATACAGAGGAAAAAGGTAATTATGTAATACATGTGAGTTTCTTAATCTATTTTACATTACCATGCAAGATGGTATGCCTAGAATTAAAGTTAAAAAAAGAAGTAGGAAATCCCTTTTAATCATTCTTGAAGTTGAGCCTCTAGCCTGTAGCTCTATAATTAAAATACAGCTTAAAAAAATCATTCATTTTTAGCTAGTGAGGTGTATCATACACAACTTGTCTTCAAATTCTTCCAGCCAAATATATGAAAAATGTGACTTTGCCACTGATGATGTAAACGTGTCCCTATAGTGTGTCAAGTGTGAGGAAGTATAAACAGCCCTAGTTTTATCTTTTGTTAAACAGTGGTTAAATATTAAAAATAAAACTATTTGTTTCCAAACCTGTCCAGCTTGTGCTGCTGATTAGAAGAGCTGGCCGTTCTCTGGTTTTTATGACATGTCCATTTTTTTCATCCATTTCAGTAAAGGCAGACCTCTCCACATTCGAACCAACAGACTCTGTACTATGGAAACAGAATTTTCTGAGTATGGACTAAACAAATGCAGCCAGCAATCACAGAAGGAAATACTATGCTTAGCTAACATGAATTTCCAAACATTTTGCTTCAGATCTGCTGCTCAACTTCTCTAGAAACACAGTCATTACAGTACTGAGCTGCAGAGAGATCATTCTTCATCTTTTCCATTGCTACAAAAAGCCTACTGACACTACTGCTATAGGCAGGATTCCAACTTCTAACAAAGTTGAAAAAATCGTCAGCCTCTCTTTCCTGCTCTGTCTCAAACATATAGTAGAGCACGGAGACCAACATTATGTTTATTCAATGAAACTCAGAACCTATACATTCTGTGGTTGTCATTTCCAAAAAGAAACCACTATACTCTCTGACTTTCACTTCTTTTTCAAGCATTAATTTGAAAAAGTAGCTCCTTGTTAAATCTACTATAGGGGACATCCTGCACACAGCCAGAGAGGAACATGTAACACTTAAAAGCTCTCCATAGTAAGTGAAAGGAAGGGATGCCATTAACGAAGCATCTAGTCACTGTCATCTAGCTTAGTGGGAACTAGACAATTGCTGAGTTCCAACCTAAAGACATTCTACTACAGATTGCCTCAGTACTTATGCCAACTTCTTTAAAAATAAAACACTTCTGTTGCTTCACACACCAAGCATTGTGTTATCACAGTTCAATGATTTCACTCATCCTGGCCTCTCCTAGCAACAATTAAGTTGACTTGCACAGCATCGGCTGCTGCCTCAGAGCACACAGAGACCACTCTGCCTGCTGATGGTGAGGAATTTGTGACCCCATGCAGAAGTATTTCTGGTAACTAAGTCATTCAGTTAAGGACTATAACTGCATGCTTCACTTACACATACCGTGGTTTAAAAGGCTCATAGTCTTTGGCAAGTTTCATGTACAAATGATGTTGAAGTTCTAATGGTGTTTCCTTAAAGTAAGAAGCTGGCTTGTCATACAGAGTTACTGCCCTGTAATGTAATAAATTCACAAATTACATAAAAAATAGATGTAACAAAATATACATGGCAAAGTGACATCCTACAGCATAATGCAGAGCGTAATTAAGTAAATCAATACAGCAAAATAATTAATTTTTTGACTCTTACAACTTTCTGTATTCCTGAAGTTTATTGGAATACACCAAGGTGAACATATTAATTCTGTAACAAGGCACCCCCTTCTTGTGTGCATATTCAAGGGGTGTAATGCAACTGTAAAAACTGCAGGTATCATTGTCCTGATTTTTAAACTTACTTCACAACCTTTCCTGAAAAACTTTGATCTTAAAGCCCTCTGATTGCAAAAGAAAAATTTGCAGGGCAGACTAACTGTTAAAAAACGCAGTGATGTCTGCCTCATTGCGATTCCATATGCAGCTTGGTAGCAAACTTCCATAGCATGTGGACTGCCACCTTCTAGTCAATGGGGTGTTAATTATGAAGGGTAATGAAGAGTCTTGAATGCCCACACTCCACAAGCTCATTATAGCACATGAGCTAACGTGTTTCAGTGGTGATGGATGGACTCGGGAAAGTTGCTTTTGTAAGATTCCTCTGAATCCAGAATCATAAGGGATATCTGCTTTCATTTTACTTCGCATACGCACACACAAATTTGTTAGAGGTATGTGACTCACTTTATGTTGCAATTCACCCATAGATCTTCTTTCATTGCATTAGTGACGCACAAGTTGTAGTCAGACAAACGCCCAAAAAGCCTTTCATACCTGACAAAAATTAAATCTTCGTTACAAACCACAGATGGGCAATTGCATTAGCCAAACAGTAACTGCCCACCAGTGCCCACGGTAATTAAAAGCCAGACAAAACCAGAAGAAACCCAACTATCCCCAATCACTGAAATTTAATTACCAATTATTGACTGACTCCTTATACTGAAGCAGTATCAGTTTATGAGAAGGGATACAGCATGATTCCCTTATCCTCTAAGGTCTAAGAACATCACACTCAAAAGTCTTTAAAGCCTTTCTCTAAGTGTAACCAATTAGATTCAGCAAGAAACAGACATTTACAGATGAGTTGGAGTTTAAAGCAACATTAGAGAATAAAAAACCCAGAACATATGAAGAAATTCTAGTAACAAGATCAAATGTTGATCTAGTAACTACATCAAATATGCACGTAAAAGCAACCTGCTTTCATCAATCCTACATGTTTAACAAAGGCATTTTACAGAATGTGCTTAATGAAATAGAAAGCAGTTTAACACACCAAAACCCAGAAATCATACACAGAAACAGCCCTTCACTGATTAAATTCTCCCCACTGGTTTCCATTCTTCTGAATTTTGCAAAGGTATGTAATTTATAAAGAGGATAAGAAATTACTGTACAAACCATTTTGCAATTTGTACCAGCGGGTGACTTCTTCCGTGAGTCAGACTCATGATAGTATATCCATAGTTGTGCCAATCGATGATCAGTTTGCTTCTCCAGAAAAGACAGGCTACCCAGGCAACAGCTATACTAGGTAAGCCTGGAGGATTCTGTTTAACAAATAAAAGTAGCAGAAGACCGATCAAGTGACAAACACTAAGCAACTACCAGAAAAAGAAAATTAAACAACTGAAATTATGTTGCTTTAAGGGATCTTAATGAACAGAGACAATTTTGTATTCACCAACTACAGAACTGCCAGTTTCTCCAGGAAGATTGGTAGGCACTTCAAATTTATTGTTGGATCAGGATCAAAATTCCCCTCCGATAAACACCCAAACATTTCTGTTAAGATTTATTCTTTACTGCTATCTGTGCCAATGAAGTTCAAACGTTCAACAATTAACAGGAAGAACAAATGTGAGTTGTTAACAGAAAAATCAAAGTTTCAAGGCAAATGAATGGTTTGATATAGGTTTACAACACTGATTAGGCCAGCTTTAATTCTCAAACAATTAGAACAATGTCTGAAACTGCTAAAAATGCCCTGTAATGTAGTACTACTTACTTTCATTAATATTAGTCCCAACACAAAACCTACCTGAAGAAGAATATAGGATGGCTGCTCTATCGTTAGCATTGTGTACAGTAACTGTATTGCCTGCACAATTACTTTTATGACATACTGGAAAAGCTTCGGGCCAACTGCAAAATGACAGAAAACCTGGTAAGAATGTTACAGAAACGTGCACCTCATACAGAGCCAGCCACCTCTGCAGCGAGAGGCTTGAAATAGCAGTACCCTGTAAAAGTGGAAACCTGTTTTTAAACATCTCACATCTTGTTCTGTATTTTGTACAGAAAAAAGTCGAGGGTACGTATGGATAAACAACACACAAGGTGGGGAGAAGGGGAAAGAAGGAAAATTAAAACTATTTCACCGTTTCGCTCTGCATACGAGCTGCATTAACCTGCTCCAATACCACAGGGGCGAGTTTTTAAAACAGGCAGGGAGACACCTCGGCTGGGCTGAGCCGGCCCACGGCTCCGGGGCACCCGGCCCACGGCTCCGGGGCACCCGGCCCACGGCTCCGGGGCACCCGGCCCACGGCTCCGGGGCACCCGGCCCACGGCTCCGGGGCACCCGGCCCACGGCTCCGGGGCACCCGGCCCACGGCTCCGGGGCACCCGGCCCACGGCTCCGGGGCACCCGGCCCACGGCTCCGGGGCACCCGGCCCACGGCTCCGGGGCACCCGGCCCACGGCTCCGGGGCACCCGGCCCACGGCTCCGGGGCACCCGGCCCACGGCTCCGGGGCACCCGGCCCACGGCTCCGGGGCACCCGGCCCACGGCTCCGGGGCACCCGGCCCACGGCTCCGGGGCACCCGGCCCACGGCTCCGGGGCACCCGGCCCACGGCTCCGGGGCACCCGGCCCACGGCTCCGGGGCACCCGGCCCACGGCTCCGGGGCACCCGGCCCACGGCTCCGGGGCACCCGGCCCACGGCTCCGGGGCACCCGGCCCACGGCTCCGGGGCACCCGGCCCACGGCTCCGGGGCACCCGGCCCACGGCTCCGGGGCACCCGGCCCACGGCTCCGGGGCACCCGGCCCACGGCTCCGGGGCACCCGGCCCACGGCTCCGGGGCACCCGGCCCACGGCTCCGGGGCACCCGGCCCACGGCTCCGGGGCACCCGGCCCACGGCTCCGGGGCACCCGGCCCACGGCTCCGGGGCACCCGGCCCACGGCTCCGGGGCACCCGGCCCACGGCTCCGGGGCACCCGGCCCACGGCTCCGGGGCACCCGGCCCACGGCTCCGGGGCACCCGGCCCACGGCTCCGGGGCACCCGGCCCACGGCTCCGGGGCACCCGGCCCACGGCTCCGGGGCACCCGGCCCACGGCTCCGGGGCACCCGGCCCACGGCTCCGGGGCACCCGGCCCACGGCTCCGGGGCACCCGGCCCACGGCTCCGGGGCACCCGGCCCACGGCTCCGGGGCACCCGGCCCACGGCTCCGGGGCACCCGGCCCACGGCTCCGGGGCACCCGGCCCACGGCTCCGGGGCACCCGGCCCACGGCTCCGGGGCACCCGGCCCACGGCTCCGGGGCACCCGGCCCACGGCTCCGGGGCACCCGGCCCACGGCTCCGGGGCACCCGGCCCACGGCTCCGGGGCTCCGGGGCACCCGGCCCACGGCTCCGGGGCACCCGGCCCACGGCTCCGGGGCTCCGGGGCACCCGGCCCACGGCTCCGGGGCACCCGGCCCACGGCTCCGGGGCTCCGGGGCACCCGGCCCACGGCTCCGGGGCACCCGGCCCACGGCTCCGGGGCCCGACCCCCCTCCCTTCAGGTTATTTTTTTTCCCCCCCGCACACCTCGCCTCCCCGCTCCCCCCCGAACACCTTCGCTCCGGCCCCTCGCTCCCCCGCGGCCCCGGGAGCCGGAGCCGTCCCGCACCCACCTCGCAGCCCCCGCAGCTCCGCCACGGGCACCAGCCGGATCCCCCCGCTCCGCAGCACGTCGCCGTGCGGCCTGCTCTCTGCCAGACAGGAGAGGCCCGTTAGCGGAGCGGCCTCGCCCGCCGCCCCGGCCCGGCCGCCGCCTCAGCGGAGCTCAAACCGGGCCGCGCCAGCAGAGTCCCTCGTGGCGGGGAGCGAGGGGAGAAGGAGCCGCCCGCCCGCCCGCACTCACGGAGGTAGCCCAGCAGCGCGACGCCGCGTCCGTGCCGGGCCAGCGAGAGAGCGTGGTACTGCATCCGCGGGCTGCGGCCCAGGTCTCCCAGCACCGCCACGCACACCCTGCCCGCACCGCCCGCCGCCCGCCGCCGCCGCCACCACAGCAGCGCCGCCAGCCCCGCCGCCAGGCCCAGCGCCAGCGCCGCGCCGCCCGCCGCCATCTTGTAGCGCCGGGAAGGGCGGGACGGTGTCGCCGGCGGCCGCCGCGCTGTGAGGGGAATGGGGCTCGGCGGCGGAGGGACGGGGCGAGCGGAGCGGCCGGAGGCTGCGGGTTACAAACGTTTTAAAAATGGCGGGGGCGGAAGGGAATAGTGGTCACTAGAGGAGGCGCCAAAATTCTGTATTTTAAAGTGACCAAAAAAAAAAAAAAAAGAGGGGAGTGGGGTGAGGCCTGCGAGTTTATGATAGTATGCAAAATGAATTTTCTTTCTGCAAGGTACTTGAAAGGAGGCTTGGAAGGGCATCTCTCAGGCCATGAGTTACTTGCTCAGTGGTGCCTGAGGTGAAGGCTTTGTGAGGAGTTGTCTACTCTGACTGAAGAAGTGACACATTCTCTAGCACAGAATGAGCCCAAATATTTCGAAGATAAAAATAGCACGTACCTGTGGTGGTAAAGAAAAATAGTTCTTCAAGCTCAAGGCATTTGTAATGCAGTGTTCTGCCTTCACACATCGACCTATGAAACAACAAAGATGCTAAAGTTAATGAAGTGAGGGCAACATCTGGTATCCATCCTGAGTGTGCTTAAGCAGGAAGGGCCCTTTGGAGTTGTGAGAAACAAGCCCACGTATATATAAAAAAGTTTTATTGGGGACAAAGTCAGTGGAGCAAAGAATACAGCGCTGGGCGCAATGGCGCGCCCTGGAGCCAAAAGGGGCTCCCTTTTATTGTATAAATGGTTACATATTCATCTACTCTAATACATATGCATCACTACTTCTAAGGATAGGGAGGGAATATTACAATTAGTTCCGAGAAATCATTAACATATCCCCCCCAACCCAAATTCCTCCCGTCGCGCTTGCGCAGTGCTCCCTGGGGGTCGTGGGCAGGGGTCTGCAGATGAAGGCTTGTAGTCTTCTTCACTGTGTTCGCTCGTTGACCCTTATTTCTGCGCAAACTCAGTCTTGTGGTCACATACACCTTGTCCTTCAAGTCTGGGCTAATTTGTAGCTCCTTTGTCTTTATGGCTCAGTGTTTTCAGTTCCTCTCTTATCTCAAGAACAAGAGATAACAGAGAGGGCCCATCATGTTCTTTCTCGTTCTATTGCAAAGGAGTTACCATCCTTTGATATGGACCATCTGGTGAGCATTCCAAAGGAAAAAGGGGGGGCTGTTGGGTTGTTGTTTCCTCTGATCAATCCCCCCTCCCTTCTCTTTTCCCACTAGTAAATTATTTTACTTTTCTTAAAATTTGTATCATTGTACTAATAATAGCTTCAGCCTAATTCAATAAAAGTAATTGTTTAATTACTTTTAGCGAAAGCAAAGTTCTTCTATTATTTATCACAGAGTTAAGAACCTGCTGATGATTTTTTGGGTGGCCTGAGGGCAGGTCTGCACAGCAGGGACATTTCGCTCTGAAGGCCATAGAGAGGCCGGATCAGCTGCAGGCTTGCTGATCCTGGCATCATGTGCCTAGTGCCTGATTTCATGTCACTGGAACTAAATCTGTGGTCCCTTCCATAGCTTCCCTGTTCGGTCCCTCTAAGCTGTCTCGTGGCTGGCAGTGAAGTTGCAGTGATGCACTTGGCCAACATCTGTTGAGAGACAAAAATTATTTTTTTTCTGGCATATAGGTTATTTCCAAGTGATATCCTATCATTATGAGACACTACCATTAACTTTAAGGGGACTCTTCTGTCATTCTGGGCAGACATAAAGTGGTATGTCAGCAAGATAGCTTAACCTCCAAAAAACGTGCTAAATGGATGTTTCTTCAAAATAGCTAAATGCATATGCACGTGAGAGTGCCTTTGGGTATAGACACCTAAGAAATCAGGCAGGACCTGAGAACTCCCTCTACTGCACCATTAATTGCAGGTTCTCTTCTTTGCTTTCAGAATCAGAGGAAGAAGAGGCTGGGGAAAAGGGCCACAGGAAGGGGAAATGAACTTAGCCTTTTGCATAAGACAGGTTTCTCCAAACACCATTCATAAGATAGGTTTAGACAGAGCAAAGAGCCTGTGGTTCCTTGATTCCACTTACAAATACCCTGAACTGTGGTGATACACCTAAGATAGCTAGGAACACATTTGTAATTTTAATGGTCAAGTTTTCCCCAACTTTGCAACTTAATTTGAGGGCCACTCCTTTCCCTCCTGACTAACACTAATATTTTATATGTGTGCTTCACCCCAAAAATCTATAAAACATATTCCAGTTGCAAAGGATAACATGCACATTATTCATGTGACACATTACCAAAGGTGTGATACTTGTAGCTGATTAGTTCGTAGGCATCAGGCAACATGTGTTTCTTGGGACAACTCCATGTGTTGAGAGCCAAACAAGCTGGTTGAAAATATTATTTCATATATTGTTGAAACAGATTGATGATGTGGGTCTCTGCTTGCTGTGTAAGTATACCAGATACTGATGTTCTTTTTCATTCCCTCCAGGCTTGTTTAGAAGGACACGTTATATTTGTGAGGAGCCTATGGCCCATGAAGATGCATCCTCCCCCAAAAATAATGTTATTAGATTGATTTATTGCAGTATATTTTAATCCAGTATAAGATTTTCAACTGCAATTCACAGCTCTCAGATCCTCTCTTCCCTACTCCAGACTGCAGAAAATAAAAGGTCTAATAAAATGCCATGCAATACTCCATTCTTTCCTGTATCTGGAGATGCTCTGAGCACCTGTTCCTGAGTATTACAAGTGTACTTGCTGTACTAGCATGATGGAAATAAACTTAGAGATTAAAAGCAATAGATTCAAGTTTTCTTCTCAAGACCTCTTAATGAGAAACACTGTTACCTATTCTCAGCTAACCAAAAATGTGGTAAATGTTATTGTGAAATAACAAAAACAAGCTTTCTCTTTAGCAGCAATGAATCATCTAACAAAATATATGTTTGCCATGTTAAAGTAATGAATTATACAACTTTTGAAACATCAGCATCAGATAATTTATCTCAAATTTTACAACTTGAACCTTTATCCCAACTTAAGCAAGATGTATAAGATAAAGTTTATGATTGTTACATACATAAGCTATACTGTAAGGACCATCATATTCAAACCTAGGATTTATATGCCTAAATCTGTTGTCAAAATAGATTGCTAGGATTAACATGGTATGATTTTGGTTCAGCTTTATGAACATCTCTTTTTTTTCTGGAGATTAAGCATATAAAGCAGTAATGACAATGTATTTTTCTGTCCCATTTTGTTACCCCTGGTTATGTTGTGTGGCATGTCTGGTTTCTCAGACTACTACAGATTCAGGTGATGGCTGGGAGAAAATTCTTGTTTGGCAGAAGCCTAAGGAAGAATGCTTTGTAGAACCTAGTGAGTAAGCCTCACCCCACAGGAGTGAGGTGGTGTGATACCTTGTCTAAACATGTAAGATACAGGCTGCAAACCAAAGAGCTGTTTTACAGCATTTCTCCACTGGAAGAGGAAGAATCGTTAATGTTTTTCAGGTCCAAAGTCTTTCACAAACACTGCACAACCTTCAGCCCAAAGAACATGCCTGGTCATATGGATTGGTGGAACCAGCTCATTTGTGGTAGGTTTCCTCACTTGAAGTCCATTTCATCAGCCGTAAGGTAAAGCCATCTCCTCTGCTTCAAGCAAGTGGAAACTTCAGAGAGAGAGGTGTTAACAAGAGCCTCCACTGGGAATGAAACCTCAGCACTGTGGAGCAATCCATTTCCCCTAGTTTCTTCTTTTTTTTATTCCACTTGAAGATTCTGAACACACCTCTTGAGTAACAGACCAAAAGCAGCTGCTGAGGAGTGTTAAAGAGACGGGAAAATTTGTTTGCAGGTAAAAATAATTAATGTGTTTGAAGGAAGGCGTATCTTTTAGAAATCTTTGTTCTGGTTACTGCTGAACAACTGTGCATAAATTATTTAATAATATAAATCAACACAGTTTTTTCCAAGTTAATTCTAACTTCCCTTTCTTACATGTAGCAGCGGCTTTCTTGTCTTCCTAAGAATGTTTGCAGAAAGAAGGCATCACAAATGCTTGCATGAATAAGAAAAACGATCCTGATTACCCCAAGGTTTTTGTCAGGGAGGAATCCTTCTGTTAAATGACAGTCTGGAGACAGACCTCACAACATGAATGCAGAATGAGAACCCCAGTTTGCACCTGTACTGAATAAGCTGCTACAGCCAGAGCCTGAAACAGGTTTGGAAAAATACTCTGACTAACAAAGGGAGCAGCAAGAGCCAGCTGTGTCCTGAGGGAAGACAAGCCAAGGGTGATCATGGCACAGGGCAGGCACTGATGTCGCCATCAGGGCACAGGCCCACAGCAGCCCCGGCCAGGCGGTGACAGCAGCAGGTCCCATTGCCAGTCCATTGATCATCAGAGGAAAGCAAGGTACCGAGGCCGTGGTCAGGCCACTACATCTAAACAGCAGTCGAGGAACAGGACTGGAAATAGGCACGTCTACAGCATAGCTCAGGGAAGAACTGAAGGCCAGACCTGAGCTTAAATGAGGCTTCTAGGCCCTGGGCAGAGAGTGTGACGGAGGCCCCCGCTGGGTCTGCTCAGGGCCTCCTGCTGCCCTCAGGGCCCTGACACACTCCTACTTGGCAACATCAAGTCTGTTTGCCGGTGGCCTGTGAACAAATGTGGTTCAATTTTGCATTCACCAGCCATGTTCCCATTTTGTATCAATATAGGTTAAAAAAAAAAAAAAAAAAAAAAAAAGTGCTCCTGAAAGACAGGATGGATAGAGCATTTGTAAAATAAAACACTTGAACAAATGCTACGTGTTATCTCAGGCAGGCTGTTTAAAGTAGTCAGAGCTAATGTTCATCCATAAAATGAGTCAAATATCTCCCCATCTGAGTTAAACTGCAGGATGCCCAGTGCTAGGAAATTCAGAAATCCTAAAATTCTTACATTTTCATCTCGTGGAAACTGCAGTATTAATCTGTCTGTCCATGTTTCTGCTCTCTGGAACTACAGAAGTCCTGTACGTACAGATATCAACTGAAACTTTTAACACTGTGATACAAATTCATATCATGACATAAAATGTTTTTCATTATATAAAGGATAGGGTTTTTTCTTTGATGGCTATCAGAGTAAAGACTGACAATATCCCCGCTAGGTAAAAAAATAGGATTACACTTACCTCTCAGCTGGGTATGGTAGAGCAGAGAGAGTATTTTATCCAAGGTCAAATGCTGAGCTCAGGGTCACACACAAATCATGGCTATAAAGTCCAATTGAAGTTCTAACCTGCAGTTCAATTTTACCACTCCATCTCTCTGATTAAACTCTACTGTAGGCTTCCAAATACACAGGGTTTTAA